ACATATGAAGGAAAGAAAATCAGATTGGACCTATGATTCTTTAAAGCAACATTTCATTCCAAAATGGAATGCAGTGATGTGTTTAGGATACCTTGTTTTTCTATCAAGCAATAGGGTCTTCAGGAATAAATGTGACAGACAATAAAACTGGAAAACTTCAGGGAATACTGGTCTCATGCAACCTTTCTTTGAATAAGCTATAGATAAGAAAGATTTGAGGATTTATTATGTTTTGGAAGTAAACATTTATTACACTTGAAAATCTAAGGGTGAATGATGACAGTGAGGATGATGGAATTGGAGATAAATGTTATGTTTTATATATATGTGTGTGTATATATAAAATATTAAAACGGTAGATAATGGCTAGAATAAATAAATAGAATGGACTGCCTTGCAGATACTAACTTGGAGTGAAAAACATTTACAGTCAAATATTTAGAAAGAGAAAATGGAAAAGATGACATTTCTATGTAAATCTATTATTGTCCACTGAGCCCATCTACAGTGTCTTACAGAGCAGAGGAATGTGTATACTTGGGAGATATTAACAAAATTGTTATTTTTTTAAGATTTTATTTATTTATACAAGAACTGGGGTACAGGCCAGAGGAGGGTGAAAGGATTCACCAGAGACAGAGCAGGGAGCAGAACAGGCAAATGATGGAAAACACTGCTAAGGGGAGCAGCGGGCGAGACAGGAGAGGTCTTCTGTGCCATGTGGGTTTCTCCCTGGCCGGCCAGGAATTGAACCGGCACTGCAGAGGCTGCGGACAGCTTCACAGCGCTGTGCTCAACCCGCTGCACCACTGGGGAGGCCCAAAATTGTTAATTTCTGTTTAAAAAAATCCTGAATACCAAAAGCAAAGAGACTATGTAGTAAATCTATGTATTAATATATAAAAAAACGTATACAATGTGCATCAAACTTAACTAACCAGGTGAGACAGTCTATTTCTATTTGTTCACATGCCCAATACATTTGATCTCAGTTCTATCATTGTGTGGGTGTGTTATAATAGATACTACATATAATTATAAAATATGTTATTAGCTCCACATTAATTCCCTGACTTTATCACCTTCTTTTCTGCTCCTTGCTCTCTCTCCAGCCATATGGAATTCTTTGTGCTTCTCAAATACCTCAATTACCTCCATTCTTTCTGTTATATAAAGAGGTAGAAAAAAAATAAGAGGGGGAGACAAATAAAGAGAAAGTGAGAAGAAAACTTTATAGCTTCCCATTTCTGTTTTGATCCCATTTATAGCCCATCTTTTTATATGGCATTAGTGAGAATGCTGTTTTATTTGCTCTATATATTGAACTGCTCGTGCCCATGCCATCTACAAAACAGTCTGTTCTTTTCCTACTGGTTTGTAGCACCAGTTTTATATCAGGTTCTCTTAAATGCCAGGGTCTGTGTAACCCCTCTTATTTTGTCCCATTGATCCTGTTCTTAGACCAACCACATACTGTTTGATTCTGTGTTGCTTTGTAGTTTATCCTACTATCAGGAAAGGCAAAATCACTCCTTTACTGTTATTTTTTAATGGTGAATTTGTTATTCATGGATATTTACTAAGAGGGGAAATTTGAGGACTATTTTAGAGATATCATTGAGACTATGGTATCTACTGTTTTACTGCCGTTTTGCATTTCTGTTCAATATTCAAATCTAGCAACATTTCCCAATTGACTTCAAGGTTTTGTACTTTTGGGAAAATCCTTTTCATCCCAATATTATATAAATATTCTCTAATACTTTAAGTCCTCTATTGTTTTATTTTAATTAAGAGGTTTAAACTGCTTGGAATTCATTTTGGCGTCATTGTGCAGTTGGGGTCTAAGGTCTAACTTTATCCGGCTAGTTTTCCCATTAATGAACAGTCCGTCTTTGCATCACTATCTGAAATACTTCCTCCATGGTAGACTCCGATTGCATATATCCATGTGGCTGTTTCTGGGCTCTACTTGGATTTTGGAAGGTGCTGGAACTCAGAATTTGTTGCTAAGAATGGAAAGACATGAAATGCCATTGAGTAGGAAGATGACAGGCGGAAGGCGGTGATTACAATGCTTCTCGGCCAGCCCGCTGTGGGGGATGAATCTGAGAAGCAAGGTGGCTGAGACACAGATGGCGCTGAGGGGGTGGGAAGGAAGGGACAGGAGCAAAGCCATCTCGAGAGAGGGAAGGTGAAGAATCCATCCTGGCTGGGTTGGCAGGGGAGTGATGTCAGTTGAGCTGCTGGGAGGAATGTACTTTTTGTTGCTGGCTTACCCGAGGCCCAGAGGCTGCCTGAGGGGCCCTGGTACCCGCATGAGTAGGATGCACTTAACAGGCTCTCATGCAACCTGGGGTGGAGGCCTCAGAAGATGCAGGCTGGGGTCACTGGGGAGAGCTCAGGTTCCCTGCTCAACATTCCCTCCCAGCGCGTGCTGAGACAGCTGCGGACCATCCACAGGAGGGAACTCTGGGGACCTAGCAAGGAGGCACTTGATTGGAGCATCGGTCGTGTTCCCAAAACACTGTGTTCATTAACCTGTATGTTCATTTGAAGACATGTCGGATTAGAGGAGGGACAGGCTCCCCTTGCGCCATCATGCGGCCGTTGCCTCTTAGCCCAGGGTTCTTATTCACCTTCCCACTGGCCCCACAGAGTCCTCTGCCTCTTCTGCCCCACTCAGAGTCCACACTGGACAGTTTACCTCCTAATTCATGCCCCGTCCTTTGGTCATAAGTTCTGTGTTGTTTGCTTCCAGATCCCTCACGAGCTGTAGACACAGAGCCAGGCCCACAGCAGGCCCACAGCAGGCCCACAGCAGGCACACCAGGTGCTTGCCGGTAGATTGGGTCACGCAGGTTGCTGCGGTGCCAGCTCCTACCTGGTCATGGGCCATGCAGAGGTGTGGAAGAGGAACTTCCACCCACCGCCTGTTAGTCTCCTATCAAGTTGATTTCTTCAGCTAAATGAGGGCCTGCTCATGAGTTTATGAGACTGACACGCTGCCAGCTGCACTAACAGGGCAGTCTCTTGTGGTGTTTATAGACAGTGAGTGAGAGACCTAGATTTTGGATATTCTGTTTAGGATCGATGGAGCGGGGTAGGGTGGGAGATTGTGACTGAGCTCCTTCAGTGAGGAGAGGATCAAGTACTAGATTTTGAGGAATGCTCGTGATGAGGGAATAGTGGGGGCGTAGAAGGGTTGGGGAGACAGGGGAAACCTCAGGGAAGAGGTTCCCCCAGACTCCACAGTGTCCCTTACCACGTCACTTTCAGGACACTTTAGTGCTGTGAGTTGGGTTGCTCACACATCAATCAGGATCGCTTTCTTAACATCCCGTTCTGATCAAGCCACTCTTGGGCTCAAAAACCATTCATGGCTCCCTATGGCGTAGAGAGTAACGCCAAGTTTAAAGCATGGTCTTTGAGGGTCGCAATTATTGGACCCTTATGTATCTTTCCAGATTTCTTCCTTCACAAATCTTCATCCTCTCTGTCCCACTCTCCACTCCCCTACACCAAAAGCTCCTCCCATACAACTCACTACTCTGACATCAGGCTACTTGCATGCCTGAGCATACCCTGCTTCCTGGCCTCCCTATTCTTGCGCACATCGTTCCTTCCTGCTATCACGCCTTTCCACCTGTCATTAGCTGTTGAAATCGTGTCCATCTTCCAAGACCCATTTCAGACGCCACTTCCTCCATGAAGCCTTCATAGATCTACTCTTTCCCTCCCCACTTGACAACCATTTCCATCTTCTATGCTCCCTAGCTGTGGCGCTCTAGAAAACATAGATGTGTACAAATGTAAAGGATTTATATTGATCCTTCTAGGATACCCCATCTTACTCCTGGAGACTTGGACCTCTAAACACTTGGCTCCCTAGCTAGCTCTTCAACTTTAAGCCTGGGATTTCCTCCTTAGTAGCCCGTATACAGTGGGTGCTCCCTAAACGTATGAACCAAGTTGAATTGAATGGAATCCACTGAGGTGATGGGTGCCAAGTTTATGTCCTTGGAAATGGGGTAGATGCTCCTTGGAAATGGGGTAGATGGCTAAGGCCCCATCCCCCCTCTGGAGGGCCTAGCCAGCGGAGGGGAGCAGTATGGGGGACACCTCTACTTGATGCGGGAAGAGGTCCTGCAGATACCACTTAGCAGGTTCTGCCCCTGTGTTCCGGCCCAGTCAGCTATGTGTTCAGATCTCACCCTCATTTTCATTAAATCACTTCAATCTGTGAGCCAGAAAAGCCGGTTGTGGGGCCCCAGGCGATAGCTCAGGCAGGAAACTCCCTGTGTACCCAGCTGGGCAGGCTAGCAGGTGAAGCCGCCTAGCCAGGGCCTGGAGTGAGCCTGCCAGCAGGCCAGAGATAGGGATCAACTGGGTGGGGCAGGAGCATCCATCCTCTAAGCTGCCTGAGACCAGGCCAGGGCTGGGCACACCCTCTCCCCACTGGAGTCCCAGGAGGAAGGGCAGGGGGCTGTTGCCCTTGACCCTCTCCTCACCTGGGATTTCGTTACTGTCTGTCTTTACTGTCTAACTTTGGAGCCCTGACTATGATCCTTGCCTCCCAGGGCACCTAGCAGGGGACTGAGCGGGTTGGGAAGGAGGGCATCGTCACGTCACCCCCTCCCCCGGGGCCTCCATGAGCTATGACTCTGTCCGCTGAAGAGAGAGGGCTTTCCCGAACCAAGCTGGGATAATCCCTGCATCTTCCTCTTGCTGCCCCTATTCCCTGGGCTGACGAGGTGGTTCCAAGCTTCTGGAGGCAATGGATGGCTACCCCCAAGGGCCAGAGCCCCTGCTGGTCCCTGCATTTCCAGCATCTGAAGGGCCCCTTGATACTAGAGTCTTAGGCCTGGACCCCCATTTCTGTGTACCCACCTGAACTCCTCACAGACAATCCCAGCCACTGCCAAAAGGCATCCAGAGGGCGGAGCTCTGAGTCAGAGTATAAATTCCCTGTCTCACCACCCAGCCGCAGAATCACCGCGATGCTCCAGAGGCAGGTGCCCGCCTGGGTCTCCCACAACCTACTGGACCCAGGCCAAGCAGAAGATGGCAGTCCTGTGGCCACTTGCGCCTCGGAGGTGAGGGAGAGGCGCTGGGTGGGTGGCGCCAGGAGAGCTGAAGGCAGAAGACAGGCTCGGGGAGGGCTGGGGCATTGGAAATTCCAGACGCCGGAGCACCTTGGCTCTGGCAGCCCCTTCCAAACCCTGGGGACATGGTCTGGTCCACATGTGGCTGGGGCTCCTAGGTGGATGGCCCAGCTGAGGGTCCCCAAGGGCTTGATAAGGTGCCAAGGAGCTGCTCAGGGCCACGCTAGGGCCAGGCTGGCACCAGGGAGGTAGTACTCATCACAGCCAGGAGTGAACCCCCGCTGGCCCGTGCTAGCAGCGAGCAGGCACTTCCCCCAGGCGCAGCCTGAACCGCCACACCACGGGGCTGTGGCATGGTAGGCCCCGGCATTGCCGGCCTGTCACCCTCAGCCGAGAAGCCACCGACCTGGGTCTGTGGTGAACACTCCGGGGTCCGTTCAGCTCCTCATAGGCTTGTCGGGGGGCCCAGTTCATCGGTCAGTTGCCAGGGCCCTGGACCTGCTCTGCCCCGGCTTTCCCCCACCTCCACCTCCAGTTTACCATAGTCACGCCTGAGGGGGACTGTCAGCAACTTCCTCACCACCCCCCCAGGTGAACAGGAGGAGTGATGGCTTTGGGGCGGGAGATGGAGATGGAGGACCTGTTCAGTTTCCAAGCAGCCAAGGGAAGGGAGGCCCGTGCTGCATGGTGTCCCCGCTGCCTTGGCCAGGAGGGGCATCACCTGTGGGATGCGCCCACGTTTCTCGGAGTCTTTGGGAGGAAGTGGGCTGGAGGGGGCTGTGGTCAGCGCCTGATTGTGCCTCCCCATCTCATTGAGCGTCCTGAGCCTGGACTGGGAGAGGATCTTCTGCACAGGGGACAGAGCTGAGCGGAGGATGAAGCCATTGAGAACTGAGCTTTTGCCCCTCTTGGGTCCTGGAGCGTCCACATGACTCGGAGCTAGGGCTTCTTGTCCTCAGCCCTTACTAGCCTGGATGATAAAAAGGGAAACAATCTGGGGGTGTTGCTCAGTCAAGCTGGGAAGTATTCTAGGGGCCATAAATTCCCAGGGGTCTTTTAGGGAAGGCCCATCCATCCTGGAAACTGTCACCAGGCTAGTATAAGCTCTGACCCAGGTGTTGCAAGGCACTGATAAATACACCCAGCGATCTGGGGAGGCGGAGGTGGCATCACCAACCCGGCCTGCCCCGAGAACCCCTGGGGAGGGGAGTTCCCAGAGTCTCCCTCAGAGCTGTCTCCCCTCTCCAGCACCCTAGACCTAGTGGGATGGTTTGCTTAGTATGGGGAACAGACCCCCACTTCTTAAATACGGTTATCAGACTCTCCCCCAACTCCTGCCCCTTCCTGGGAACACGACCCTGAGAACCCACCTGTAACTATTATTCTGCCTTGTTTGTGGCACCAGCTAGACTCTTGGGGTAGAGGGAACACCCGGACCAGGATGTACCCCTGCCTCTGCTGTTAACAGGTCTAGGGCAGAACTGGAACAAACTTTTAGCCAGTTTGGTTAATTCACGTGAAGCCGGCGCCAGGTGGGGAAGCACGCAGCCCCACGGCCAGGCAGACTTGTGCCTGCATCCTGGCCCTGACGACCTGGCCTTGACGCCCAGTAAGATGCAATTTCTGTAAACTCAGTCTTCTCTGCAAAGCAGGAACAGTAGTGCTTCCCCAGTATGCACTTGGGGGGTTAGATAAGAGCAGATGCAATGCACCAGGGCCTGGTCTCTAGAAAGAGCAATGAAGTGTGTCCCCAACCTCCCCTCAAAGTTAAGGGGTGGGAGAGAGCAAAATTGGATTGCCTAATCACGGATCCTGAGAATCAAGGGGTTACAGCTTTTCCATATGAGCTGGTAGGCTCCCCCTGTTCTGAGCAGGTCGACAGCCTGAGCAGGGGCCCCTCTCCCCTGGCTTCCCAGAAAATTGCTATCCAACCCGTCATCCCTCGCAGTAGCCCCTGTTGTTCAAGTGTCCAGATACGCTGCTGTACTGCTTGCCAAATAGTTCCCGTTTGAGTACCAACCCCTGAGTGCTCCCTGGTCGTGACCCTTCAGTGGACCAAATGCGTAAGAGCCATCCCTGCTCCAGGGCCACAACCCAGTTGGCATGGTGCTCGGTCACACCTCTTAAATATTTCGACTTTCACCTTGATACTCTGCCAGGGCATCTTGTCCTAGGGACGGGCTGGTCCAAGTCCCAAAGTTTTTACTCTCACCACACCGTAAGCTACCCCATAAAATTGGTTTTCGTAATCTCGCCGCATAGTCACAGACCCTGCGATGTTCTCTTGCATCTTCCTGCTGCCTATCAATTACCTCTGGGCCTGTGAAGTTTTGTTCATCTCTAACACCACTCCAGTGGCACAGATGATAGCAGGGACAAAATGTGGACATTCACTGAAACCCAAAGAGGTCATGACAGGCCCGGTTCCTGGAATCATCTGGGCCCGAGACCCGAGTCCCGTGTTGGGCCCAGCATGACCCCGGTGGGCTAATCTCAACCCCCTGCCAGCATCTGACTCCTGACCGGTGGCAAAATATGAGTCCTTTGTAGAATGATTTGAAATTGGCTCTCTCCTGCAAAGAGGCGTGATCTGAGGCTTACAGGTAGACCACAAAGGAGGCCTCTGTGGCCACTAGGAAATGGGATTTTCAAGAACCCTTTGATTCTGGTTCTTTGAAAAAGGGAGAGCTCACACAATGTCAGTAGAAATGCAGCTTAGTCAGAACCCTGCAATTAGAAGGACTGCCAGAGTTTGGAGGTTATTTTTGGGCTTCAGGGGAATTCAGGGTGAAAAGAAGGCTCAAAGAGAAGACCAAGGAAGAAAGACAAGCAGCACGTTTCCTGTGTGCCGAGGGCTGCTGCCGGGGAGTGACAGTTCAGCGGTCACCCCTAACCTGCAGGCTAGTTTTCCATACTGGCAATTATCTGTGGATGCCCGGTGAAGACTAACTCTGCCTCCTCACCAGCTCTGCCCAGGTGGGCAGTGAGCAGCGAGGAGCCCACTACACAGGGGAGGGGATCGCCCAAAGGTCACACACAACCTTATTTCTAGAACCAGAAGAGAAAAGCGTGGGTAGGGTCTTTGGTCCAGGTTGCCAAGCTCCAGCGGGAACGCCGGAGAGCATGTTACTGACTGTGAAGGTACGCAGTCCTTCAGAGTAGCCTCACGGCCGGGATCGCTGCTCCTCTGTGGGACTGTCAGTTTGGCTTTTGTTCTGATTTTGAGGCAGATGTTGGGGAGAGAGGAGGAAGAGATGCGCAAGTTGATTTATATGTCTCTCAGGACGTTAGCAGCCTTCCCAGAGCCCTGGTTCTGTGGTTGCTGGTTAGACTTAAGTCCCCGAAGGGACTGGAAGAGCAAAAACTGGCACAATAACAATGATTGTCTCTCAGTAGTGGACTTTTATACTTTTCTCCAACCTCCATTATTATTTTAAATAGGAAAGAACTGCACCCTCTTAGAAAGATGGAAAGAGATTCCAGCAACATAGAGTGAACGGTGTGGCCTACAAAGGGTCCCATCTCAGAGGCCTCCGTTCACTCAGTTGGCAGTCGTGGGGCAGGAATGAACAGTGAAAAGACACCCTGAGCCTGGGTGAAACTCTCAGGGAGAGGCTTCGTATCCCATGCGTCAACCAGGAAGGGCATCAATCAAAAGGAACAAAACCAGGAAAGGCAGGCACAGTACAGGCAAAGCTATGCCTCTTCCAAGCTGTGCGCGTCAGACCAGCTATGCTGGTCAGACGTCAGCACCCTTGGGCCCCCTAGGAACCAGAGGAGACTTCCAGAGCCCAGAACCTAGAATTGGTAAGAGAAGTCTCCCTGAGTCGTGCAGCCGGAGGCCGGCCAGCCTGACTGCTCTCTCTGCCAAGGCCGCCCCTGTCATGGCCTGAGGAGTGAGTCCACTGTCCTCTCAATCCACAGGAGACTCTGTTTCCATGCCACCTGCTGACAGTGAGGGTTGTGCGTATGAAAAACGTCCGACAGGCTGACATAGGTGAGTATCCTCTCCTCCCTTCCCTCCTTCTCTGCTTAGGAAGAGAGACTATGGCTGGAGAATTGGCCAGGTGGGCGTGTCTGTGTGCACGCTGTGTGTGTGTGTGTGTGTGTGTGTGTTCTACACTCAGGCTATATTTCAGACTTTGGGGTTTATACCATTTTCCAGACCCTTCCCGCTACCTGTAATCTCAGTACCCCTGCAGGCTGCCTGCATCTGAGAGCACTGTTCACCCGTCTCCCTCCCCAGGATCCATTTCCAGGAACACAGGCTTCTCCCACGCTGGGTTCTCCTTGTCTTGCCAAGAATCGGGGGGCTGTTAGTGATGAAGGAGAAGACACTTTTGGGCATCTAGAGCTAGAGTCAGGCCCGTCCCACAGCCCCTCTTCGCAGGACATGGATCCCAAGTTGGGTACTGGGGGCCCATGGCAGTAGCCCCATAGCACCCAGCCCCGCAGTTCAAGTTCATGGATATAGTTTATCACACTGGTGCCATTTATACAGTGTTTTCTTATAACCTTAAGTTCACCTTCATCCCTGCCCTGCTGCACTGTCAGGCCCGAGGGGCCCAGGGAAGCCTCTGGCTTCAGGAGAACATCTATCTTTTGAAATGTGGCATTTCAAGAGATCAGGAGAACCAAAAGTGTTTCTCTATGCTGCCTTCATCTTCCCCCCATGCACAGAGGAGTCTTGGCTCTCAAGGAGAAGAAGGTTTATTTCAATGCTAAGGGGGTGTCCCCACTCACTGGTGACCAAGCAAGAATGGCCCATGGGCCATAATGTTCTCCAGAGCTGTTATATTCCCACTGCCCTTACCCTGGGATTCATCTAGGCTGGAAAGGGCCTCAGAGGGGCAGAGAGCATACCTGGGTACCAAGCGAATGTGTAACAAGGTGAGACTCAAATATATAGAGAGAATAGTAATAGTGATAGTGATGTTATAGAGTAGTAATAGGAGTTGGGATTCTGATCTTGACACTGAAAAATTCAGAAGTAGAAGAGGACAGTGAAAGTCGAGAGTAGCTAAGGAAGTCTGTATTGAGGGCCTGGGGTCTGAGTGGGGCAAGTTGGGAGTGTCTGGTGACCCAGGAGCGCACTTCCAAGGGAGGGAAGGGAGCCACATGCCCTGAGCACCTGTGGTGGGCCAGCGAGGGGGCCAGACCTCCAAACACCATTTCATCGACCGACCCGTGGGTGGGCTGTGAGGCCCCTTTTGTAATTGCAGGTTAGTGATGCCTGAGTGGAAGCAATGTTTCATCCCAGTTCTGGAGAGCTGGGGCAAGCTGGCGAGTGGAAAGCCTGGAAACTCCGGGCAGAGCCGGGGTCCGGACCTAAGTGAAGGGGCACCTGAGTTCCTGAGGAAGGAGTTGCATAATTTCTTGTGGCCTCATAGCCACAAGATTGTACTGGTGTATAGATGGGAGATGCTGATAAACTCGCTAGGAAGCTGATAAACTCGCTAGGAAGGTGATAAACTTGCAAAGAAGCTGTCATTGCAATGCAGGGATGCTTGTGGAACCTTTCTCAGCTACTCCCATTTTCATGTTTTCTGGTTCTAAATTCTGCAGTGAGGCACGTTCAGAATTGCATCTTCTGTAAAGGTGTAGGGCATCAATGTCTCCCTTGTATATTTGGTATCTGTCTTCACACAATATTCTCTGCCACTCTGAGACCTTCCCTAGCCTAGAGGGAGGGCCCTGGAGCCCCAGAAAAAGCAAAGGGATCAGGCAGGATTCAGACCCAGTCCCCTGGAGGGTGAGGTGTCCAGAGCTGATGTCAGTGAGTAGCTCCAGCAAAAGCCCAGTTAGATCTCAGGTCTGCCAAGAGGCCAGCCAGGAGACCCGGGACTTGGAGGGCTTCTCTGGGTCTTCCATTCTGCCAGTGAGTGATCTGAGGAATCTAAAAGTGTCCCCTGGGCCCAGGGTTTGGCCGCCTTTCTTCCTCATGCCATAATGGGTGACTCAGAGTTCACCCCTCTCCCCTCTGGGACAGTTACAGATCCCACATACCCACAGCTACCCCTGCTTCCCTCCGCATGAGGCACGTCTGTCCCAGCCCTGTGGGTTACTCTGGCCACATGTCCTCCTAGCATGCCTCTGCACCTTTGTGCCCAGAACCTTCTGTTGTCCAGCACCCTTTCTTCTGTCTTCTTCCTGCCACATACATCAGCTGTCACTAAGGATCCCCATAAGGGGTGGAGAAGTTGGAGGAGGCTTGGAGTGTGAGGAAGCAGGCAGCCAGAAAAACAGCTAGGGTCTGTCTCCACTGCCCTCCTCTTCCCCTTCCCCATACTCCCCTCCACCACAAAGGCTGCCTTTGGGGGTTTTCAGTCTTCTTTGAGAACCCCTTATCTATATTTTGCTCATTTCCACTGAGGGTCAGGGTGGAGGGCAGACATGGTGTTTAAGGGTGCCAACCTGGTTCGTGTTGGTTCTGGACTCCACGGATGTCGCAAGGCAGGGTCCCTTTGCTGCCCTGTCTGGGTTGGATTTGAGACTATCCTGATGTTTTTCAGATCCTGGGTTGGTCTCACCCCAAATTGTTTCCTTGTAGCTTGGATCAAAAATAATAATAATATAAAATAAAATAATCTGTGCCTGAGTTACCCAAGCTTTCAAAGAACCTGAGGTGTGTGCCACCCAGCCATGGCCAGGACTAGGGGAAAGCAGAGCCCCAAAATCTTCCAACTTTCCCTCTTGGGAAAATAAAATTAAAGGTGTCTCCAGAGGTATTAGGGAGATTGAGTCATCCTGGCTACCCATATGCCAGGAAAAGAGGCATGTCATTCGGATGATCCAGCATGCTGTCACTCCTTGAGGAACAAGTATCAGAACCTCTCTCTGCCTAGGAAATGCCCTGCAGTCCCTGGAAACCTCAGAATTGGGTCATCGGGCATAACCATTCTCCGCTGCTAACACAGTGGTCACTGCCCATACAGTCAGCAAGTGATTCCTGCCCAAATTGTCAGCTGGGCCCCTGACCAGTCTTCCTCCATCACACGCCCTGCCCAGGAACAACCCCCCCAGCACGCCCTCCTCGGGCTGCACTCTCCTTTTTCCAACTTTGTGAGGGAGGAGGCAGGAAGAGCTCTCTGCAAAAGAACTGAAAAACAAATGAATGCTTGAAATGTGGGCGTCTGATCGCACCTCTCTCTTCCAGGAATATTTTTATCATAACTACAGATCTAAGCCTTAGGCCAAGAACACTGAGATTTTATTTAATGGGTTTAATAGGAGAATTTCAGGCCTGGGATGATGACAGGAAAGGAATTTTAGAGGGAAGGGGCCCTGGCAGGGCCCATCAATCAAGCTAAGCAAATGGGCGTAGAGGTGGTGGGGTCCCTGCCTGCCAACTCCCAGTGTACAGGAGGCAGACCTGAGGAGAATGTTCGAGGCCTGAGGGAAGCTCAGGGGAGGCTTCCAGAGGAGTTCCAGGCCAGTCAGGGGACAGGAAAGGTAAAGGGTAAGAGAAGGGTGTTCTGGGCAAGACAGCATGGCACCTTCTGAGCCCTGCAAGTGACTGTTTGGCAGGAGTGTGTGTGTGTGTGTGTGCGCGCGTGTGTGTGTGTGTGTGTGTGTGTGTTTGGGTCAGGCCAGGGAATGGGGTGATAGGGATAGAAAGATGAGGCTAAGAGATAGGCAGGGGCAGCCGTGTTGAGTTGTTGGAACTCCTTCCTGAGGGCAGATGGGAACCATTGAAGGTTCTCAATCTGGGTGGTAACGTGGCTGAAATCTCTGATTTCTCTTGAGAGAAAGAGTAGAGCAAGGCAAGAAAGGGAGCCCGGTTGGGGAGGGTCAGTGGAGATCCTGGGGGCCTGCCCAAGGGAGTGGCAGTGCTGATAGGACACAGGCTCAAGAAGTCAAAGGAGCTACACGGGTTCCAAGTGAGAGTCGAGGACAATACTTGGTGTCTGGCCTGGACACCTGAGCCAGGGCTGAGGTTGGGCATTGAGGGTGTGGGTGGAGCTGATGAGGTCATCATTTCCTTTTGATTCTGTTGGGTTTTATTCTTTCTTTGTGTCTGTGTTAAGTGATAATTACGGCATCTAAAAGACAGTATGTCATCTTACCTGTATTCAGTGGAAGGAGGCCCTTGAATTCCAATTCAGTGAATGTTCAGACCTCAAAAATTAACCCAAGATTGGGGATGAAGTCAGAAACTAGGGACACTTGTGATGCAAACGATGGGAATTAATTTTGAGAAAGCACCCAGTGTGGCAAAATATAGGACTTAAGGGTCCAGCAAACCCTAGTTCCACTGTCACAGGATATTATTAGTAATAATTATGATCTAGTTTGGACCATCGCGGAACTCCTATCACCACACCAGCTCTACCATCTGAAGGACCCTCTGATCCTGTAAACTGTACCGACTTTTCCCATTTTCTGTGTATCTGGTGTGTGCCCTGGGAATGACCCCAGTAGATTGTCAGAAGAGTGAAAAGTGTGACCATGGCACCTCATCTCCCCTCCTTCCAGGTAGAATGGAAGGAGGGAGGTGGTCTGGGCTGCTAGCTTTCTCTCCATGCCTCTGGTGCTTCAACCAGAAGGCCTAGGAGGCCTTCCTCTACTTTAAGAGGGCCCGTTGAGATCAAAGCCTGCATCCCTTCCCCAGAATACATCCTGCACCCTCCCACGACTTATTCATTTCAGATGAAAAAGTCAGTGGCCTCAAATGTGAGATTTTTGGGGCTCACATGTCTTATTCTGGAATAATAAGTGTAGGCATGAAGAGCTGGGCCAGTAGGTTATAAGCAGATAGTGGTCACCCTGCTCCTGAATAGCTTGTCTATGGCTCACTCACAGCAGACTGTGTTCCTGCTAATCTTTGCTTCTCCACAACGCAGAGGAAGAGTTGGGTCCCGCTTTGGTTTCCCTGGTGCCTTGGGAAAAGGCAAAGGTAAACCTGACCCTGTGGGGCTTGTCCTCCATTTCTGCCCCCACCAGAGGGAGAACTGTGTGGCCATAGCTTGTCCCAGACCAGTGGGTATTTGCTTGGAGAATAGGGTGCTTGTGATAAGAACTTCAGGCTGGGGGGCCTCCCTGGTGGCGCAGGTGGTTGAGCGCAGCGCTGTTAAACTGTCCGCAGCCTCTGCAGTGCTGGTTCGATCCCTGCCAGCCTCAAAGCAACCTGCATGGTGAGCAGATCTCTCCTGTCTCGCCGGCTTCTCCCCTCAGCAGTTTATTTTGGTCAGTCTGCCTGTTCTGTTCCCTGCTCAGTCTCTGGTGAATCCTCTCACCCTTGCGCATCTGGCCTGTGCCCCGGCTCTTATATAAATAAAAAATCTTTAAAAAAAAAAAAAAGAAAAGAAAAGAACCTCAGGCCATCTGTGTCTGTAAGAATGGGCAGTGGGACCTGGCTCCCCCGCTGTGAAACCTCTAGCCTGCTATGGTATGTGGCCTTTTGGGGGTTCTTGGACAAAGGTCTCTGAAGAGTCACCCATGAGTCAAGTGTGGTCCTGAAGCTAGGACAAGGCCTCACTCTGGAAGTGACTTGCCTGAAGTTCCTTCTGATTCTTCCGTACTCTCTCCACTCTGGACTCTGTTGGTTCCTCTCCCAACCCTCCTACCCTTGTCTTCCTTGCACAGTGAGCCAGCCAGACTGCTTTGTGAGCCTTTGGTTGCCCACTGCCTCTCATGAGAGGCTGAGGACTCGGACCATCTCCAACTGCCCAAACCCAGAGTGGAATGAAACCTTCAACTTCCAGATCCAGACCCAAGTGAAGGTGAGCTGTGGAAGGCCACGCCTGTCCATTTCCCTCCTTGCTCTCTTGTCCTTTTCTCTGCTTACGTGTCCTTCTGCCTACTTGTCTTTCTTCCTGCATGCTTACTATTCTCCTGTGGACCTGGTTCCCACTCACTCCCTCCTTTCTTTTCGCCTGCCTCGTGCTTGTCCCTTCATGCCTGTTTATCTTTCCACCTTCTTTCCTATCTCTTTCTTGTCCTTCTTGTCCTTCTACCTAGTTGTTGGAAGTAGGTATCCCTGCCCTAAAACAGAGCATGTTTCCAGAACCTTCCAGAACATTCTCTAAGCAGGAGAATATATACAGGGGAAGAGCCATTCTATTCACTAGATCCAAGGACAGTCTAATCCCAGCCAGAGGGTTTTACTTAAACCCTTTCAGATGCTTTATTATTCCTAATTCCTTGGGTGTGTGTTATTTTGCATGTTGAGTTGTTTTATGATGTTGGTTGTCTTGGATGCATGGTGACTCTAAGTCAAGACACCTCCTGAGGGAGAATTCTCCATTGAGCATCCTGAGTAATGACCCTCAACAGAGTGCTCTTAAGATAAACATGTCCTCCTCATAATCCTCATTCCCAGTCTTGGAGTACTTGAGGCATGGCAGCTCCATGCAGGTTACTGCTTTCATATTTTAGGGGTACCTCTTCATTTCTGATTCATAAGTCCATTTTTGTTTTCAAGAGGGGATTTATTATATTTATTGTTTTGAAACTATCTTTTCTTTTTTTTTTTTTTTTAAAGATTTATTGATTGATTGATTGATTTATACATACATTCATACAAGCACTGGATACAGTCAGAAGCGTGGGAGGGTGAAAGAATTCACCAGAGCCAGAGTGGGGAGCAGAGCAAGCAGAAGGACCTAAGTACACTGCTGAGGGGAGCAGAGGGTGGCAGGAGAGGTCTGCGCGCCATGTGGGACCCTCCTCCGGTGGCCAGGGAGCAGCCGGGGATCGAACCGGTGCTGCAGAGACTGCGGGCAGCTTCGCAACCCAGCGCTCAACCGCTGTGCCACGGGGGAGGCCCTGAAACTATCTTTTCTGTCATATATATGGTTGTGAGGAGAGAGGGATTTCAGTGTGGACTTGTCTGCCATTTTTAAAACAGAATTTTAAAACAGAATTTTAAAACCCCCGTGGGGCTGCTGGGTTGGTTCTGGGATACACATGGGTTTCTAGTAACTATAAGGTCAACAGATCTCATTTAGTTAGGAACACCCAGAACCATCTCATGTCCATTAGATGGGGACCAAAGAGACAAACCCAACCATAACCACATCTCCCAAGGTCCTTGGAACTAGAGGCCTCAGATGCTAATCCATGTAACCAGAGACCACTGACATGGTAGCTGCTCTGTTCTTGTTCAGCCCACATGACATGGTAGCTGCTCTGTTCTTGACATGAGACCTCATAAGGGACTGAGGAGCCAAAGGGTAGAGTTCAAACACCTCACCCCAACCCAATCAAGTAGCAGAACCCCTGTAACCTTTGCCATGTCACTCCCTTGGAGTGTTAAGATGTTAGTTTCCCTGAACTGAGTTTTTCAGCACCAAATGGGCTGCCTTCAGTGCCCAGGGCCCTGACTCTGGACACAATCTGTCCCCAAGTAAAATGAAACCTCTCACACATTACAGGCCCCTGCCAAGCTTGAAAATGGCAAAATTCTCCAACAGCAGAGTCAAAACAGAGGGACGGGAACACTTCAGAGAGCTGGAAAGGAAGGAATAGACACTTTCCTCCCTTAATTCATCCCCCTACAGATGTCTCTCACGCCTGAGCGGGACTTCTGTGCTGGGCCCCATCCCTTAGACCTACCGCCTCCCTAGGACTGATGTCAGGCTCCTTATCCTGGAACAGGTTAATGTAACCACATAACCAGGCTTGTACCCTCCCTTCACCCCCAGAACGTGCTAGAGCTGAGCGTCTGCGATGAAGACACAGTGACGCCAGATGACCATCTCTTGACGGTGCTCTATGACCTCACCAAGCTCTGCTTCCGAAAGAAAACCTACATGAAGTTCCCACTGAACCCCGAGGTGGGTGTGCTTGCCAGGCCTTCTGCCTCCTACCTCAGGAGGGGGAGAATTTTCTTCCTATGATGTCAGTCCACGGGCTCCTCCCCCTGCAGCCAGCTCAGGAAAAGATAGCGCTGCTCGTTCAGGCCCCTCCGCCATGACTTACTAGCTGGTGACCTGTGGCAATTCTTCAGAGTTCTTTTCTCTACAATGGGCAATAGTAATACCTACTGTGCGGGGTTGCTGTGAGTGGGGAAATTAATTAAGGCACCTAGCACTGGTCATGGTACAAAATGGAGATGTAGTCACTGTTGGCTTCCATTTCCCCCCCAGATGGGTAGGTGCAGGGGACAGAGGGCAGATAAGTGTAAAGGAGGGCAAATCTGAAAATAGAGGAAGTCACAGCTGGAAAGGACCAGAATGTTACCGAGTCAATCATTCCATCGATACTTGAAAGCTGAGTCTGGGCCGGGCATTGTTCCAGCGCGGGGACTTGGCAGGGAGCAGGCAGCCCTGTCCTTGCCTCGCTTACCTGGTGGCAGGGAAATTAAAGTCCAGTGAGCTCAGAACTTCCTGCTGCTACACAGCAAGAGGTGTGAAGGGATGGAGGAGGGAAGGGACCCTCAACTGTCCTTGCCCCAGGCACTCTGCCCCTCCGGAAGGCAGGAGAACCATGGGCAGTTGGAAGATTAAAGGAAGTGTCTGGGCCAGAGGGATTCGCATGCAGGGCTGGGGGCACAATTCCATACCCTGAGCACCCCCCGTTGATGTTCCTGGGGATGTTCAGTGACGTTCCTGGTGCTAAGGAAGTGGGCACAGAGAGAAGCAGAGCAGGTAATAGAGCCAGGACAGCTACCCCCACTCCATGAAGCAGGACGCACCGTGCGCAGGGCCTCCTGGGGCACAGGGGTGCTGGTCTGCAGAGAGGTACAGAAGCAGCTCACAGTACCTTCCCCCCCTCCCTCAGGGCATGGAAGAACTGGAGGTGGAGTTCCTGCTGGAGGAGAGGTGAGCATCCCCCCACCCCCCCACCACAAGTTCCTGCCCCTCAGCAGCTTCTAGGCACATGCACCGAGAGCTTGTCTGCCTTGTTGCTGTCCTCCCCAATTCCACTCTCACCTCTGCCGCTCCTCACTGCACATCACCTCCGCTTGGGTGGAAGCTGTCAGTACCTGAGCTCCACCCCCTTCTACTGCCAACATATTGCATTAAAGACTTAATGCTTTAGCAGACTGCCTGCCTCAGCTCCCCTGCATTCCTGAGAGCAGTGTCTGGGAAGAATTTCTACCACCATGCAACGGTGCTTATTGAGACCAGGCCGAGAAAGAGGTCAGGACCAAGGGGTCCTGCTCCTTCACCCTGACCTGTTTGAACAAACTCTACCAAGCCCTGGCCTGAGGCAGAGCCTGTGCCCCTCTGCACCCAACTCTGGAACCAAGTCAGAGGAGGCCCCACCCCATTACATGAGGTTATTTCATACAATTTTCAATTAAGCGTATGACCTAGAATCCTGAAGTTGTGACAATTGTGGGAACTGGAGCAGAATTGGGTCAGAGAGCTGGAGTGTGGTCAGAGAAGAGGGCAAAGAAAGGAGGGAAAACCTGCCTGTGGGGACAAGCCCCCAGCATGCAGTGTGCTTGTGACTCGGGAAGAAAGGAGCATTTAGGGGGCATGGCTTTAGACTGCTTGTGCTTGTGACTGGCAGCCAGCTCCTGTCCTCTCCTTCCCCTTGGTAGCGCTGAGCACCCTGGGTGACACGCAAGAGCTAGAACAGGAGGACTTGGAAATGTCACTCGGAGTCATCTGCCTGGGGCCTCTTAGAAATATTTGGGGTGCCTTGTTGAAATCAACTTTAACAAATTGAAATAAAGTTTATTGGTTCCACATTGAAAAAAATTCTGGGTTTTGGTTTGATAGGACTTTTTTTTTTAAAGGACTTTTTTTTTTAAAGATTTATTTATTTATTTATTTATGCATACAAAAGCTGGGGTGTAGGCCAGAAGTCTGGGGGTTGAGAGGATTCACCAGAGACAGAGTGGGGAGCAGGACAGGTGGATCTACTGCAATACACTGCTGAGGGGAGCAGCGGGCAAAACAGGAAAGGTCTGCTGGGCCATACGGGTAGCTCCCTGGCTGGGGATCGAACTCATGCCACAGTGGTGCGGATAGCTTCATAGTGCTGCGACTTAACCCCTTGCGCCACCAGGGAGGCCTCTTGATAGAACTTTTAGGGAAAACAGATTCCTTGGCTGAATTAGAAAAATGACTTGCAAAATGAAATATGTCAAAATCTGTGCTAAGAATTGATCTGAAGACACAGCCATCGCGGTCTTAATTTTGGTGGGGGAGGCTGTGGGCTCCCCTGGCTAATTGTAATCTTGGAGGCTCACATTCTTGGCTTCATAACACAAGGACATTACATATTCACCAGACCCCTCTCTGGCCCGGTCAGAACTATTTGTTCAGAGCATAAATTAAATAAACAGGAAAGGAGAAGCGGTAGTTTTGTTAGCAGAACAGTTTATACATGCTCGAGGTAGATGGGCTCTGGCCTTTCATGTGACCTATCTATCCTCGTAACTCCAGGCAGTTGCATCTGATTGGACATAAAGAACAGTTGTCCTCTTAAGGGAAAAAGGGAACTCTTCCTACTCCTTCTAGCATACGCATCTTCTTTCTTCCTCCCGGATGTGCTACTTAAAAATGTTTACCAGTTTTCTCTTTGAAAATCTCTACCTCTAAAGTTTCCTGAGCCAATAATTTTCTTAAAGACCAAGAAGGCTCTGCCATTTCACTACCGACACTATTTAGGCTCTTTGCCCCCTCGTGAGACATCGATCAAGATGACATGACTGACCAGGTTTCCCATTTTGTTTTTCAGTCCCTCTGCACCTGAGGCCCTCATCACCAATGGCGTGCTGGTGGTAAGGACCCTTCCAGGCTCTTGTACCCCAGAGGCCGCAAGTGGCTGCTGCTCTCGGGGGAACAGACTGGGAGAAAGCAGACTGGGGCCCTTGTGCTGGAGCCCCCTAGGAGTAGACTAACTGCAATCAACCAGAGTGGGTGTAGATGGGGCGGGGGCAGCACCTGGGCTCTGCTCGTGGGGAGAAAGTAGGTGGGACATTACCCTGGTCTGGCATCCCACACCCAGCCCACAGCCGTGGCCCCTCCTCTTTGGACCCTCCTGATCCCCCACTAGGAGGCAGCCTCTTGCCAGAATCAGTCTCTGTCCCATTTTCCTCCAATTCCAATCTCTCTATAAATACAGTTCAATATTAGAAAGATTTTCATAATTCAGCTGTTGGCACAGCCATTTCGTGCATTCATTTAGATGCATCTAAAACTACAGGATTTAAGGTGATGCCCCCACCCCCCCATCAGTCTTTGGGAGTTTGCAGTAAAGGAATGTCACTCCCCTCTGCTTCTTAGAAGGCTGTTTTGTTGGCAGTTATTGTCAAAAGCCAAGTGGAAGTTGCCCTCTTTTGGTTTTGGATGAACCCACTGAGGTTCCATCCCTGCCCTGGGGCTGAGAGCACAACTCCTAGTAGGCAGTGGCCGCACAGCCTAGATTTTTCAGGATGGTTTCATTCTCAAATACTCCCTCTCAGAATGATGTCTTGATTGGGTTCAGCAAACAGTCTCCACACCCAGCTCCCCCAGACAGCCTGAATATGTCCCCTTGTTCATCACCCCTCCCTCTGGCCTGGTAGGCGAGGGAATGGCTGGTGCTCGAATGCCCTTTCCTTTCTCTGTTTCAGTCTCGACAAGTCTCCTGCCTGGAGGTTCATGCAGAATCCAGGAGGCACAAGAAACATGGGAAAAGTGAGTTGGGTTTTTTTTGTTTTTTGTTTTTTTTTTTTGAAGATTTATTTATTTATTTATACAAGCACTGGGTACAGTCAGAAGCGCGGGAGGGTGAGAGAATTCACCAGAGCCAGAGCGGGGAGCAGAGCAGGCAGAAGGACCGAAGTACACTGCTGAGGGGAGCAGCGGGCTGCAGGAGAGGTCTGCGCACCATGCGGGACCCTCCTCAGGTGCCGGGGATCGAACCGGTACTGCAGAGGCTGCGGGCAGCTTCGCAGCCCCACGCTCAACTGCTGCACCACCAAGGGAGGCCCAAAAAGTGAGTTTTTTAATGCCTCCACCTGTGGGGCACGGGCAGTGATGCTTCCAACCCCATCAGCACCAGAGTCAGCCTCCCCATGGCCCTGGGCTCAGTCAAGGAGCCAAAACTCGAAATTCGTTGGGGTCACCTAACCGTCAGCGGTGGTGAGCCCCTGTCCTCCCCACTGCTCTGTAAAGGGCACACACATGACCCTTTGTGCTTCGGAGGCTTGACAAGCCCACTCCACCCACACTTACCTGTGCCACACCCCTGGCAGACCGGGGCTCCCCAGGACCCATGCGGTGGTCAGCACCAGGGACGAGCAGGAGCTGAAAGTGCCCAGGGCCCCTCTCGCTGACCCCCTTCCTCTAGTCAGATGACAATTCCTGGAGAGCCCTAGTGTCTTATCATTGGGGGGCCAAGCTCTCCAGATCACTACCCCTCCCCGTCCCACCCATGCAGGCCCCCAGCCCTGTCCAGGGAGGACAGCAGCACCCCCCACAGGCATGGGGGTGGGAGGCGAGAAGAGGCCCCTCCCCAGAGGCAGCATGGTGCGGGCCTGCTTCCAGTGTGCAGGAGGTTGACTTTGGGGTCCCTCCTGGAAAAGCAGAACCTAGGAGGACTGGTCCAGAGGACTCAGAATCTCTGAGGGCTTTCTGGAGACCTCATTTGTCAGCATCACAAAGCCTTGTTAAAAGGTAGATTTCTGGGCACGCCCTGCCCTAGAGATTGAGACTCTCTGGGGCATTTTAACCAGTCACCTGGGTGGTTCTGTCCTGGGTACCTCCAACTAGGCTTTTTACAGACCACACTGGGTGCGGGGGAGTGAGAGGCTTCTGGGGGGGGGAGGGTCTCAGCCTTTTGTCGTCTTTTCCAGTGAAGGATCTCCTGGTGACGGTGAAGGAGTCTTTTGAGCACACCCAGCGCGTCTCGCACTGCCCAAACCCTGCCTGCTTCCACTACCCCAAGTATTTCCAGCCCCAGATGCACGTGGAGATGCCCAAGCAGCAATGGAGCTGTGGGGTACAAGGCAGTGGCTGCAGGGTGGCATAGGGCCCTGGGGCAAGCGGGTTGCCAGAGGAGACCCTCACCCCCTCTCACAGAACCCCCCCATCCTTCCAGCTTTGCTGCTGTGCGCACAAGAATGACCCTGTCTGCCAGCCCCTCGATTGCCTCCCTGAGGGCCAGGCAGTGACCTTGCCTGTGGTAAGGGCCTGGATCTAGAAAGGGGCCCCTGCTCAGCTTAGCCTGCAACTCCTGTGGCAGGAGTTAATGGCTGGGGGTTGGGGGAGGCATGTCTCAGGCAGAATAGAGGAGTCCTGTGGGGTAGGAGAATGCTGAGCTACAGAGTGGAGCCAAAGCAAATGAGCTGAGGCTGAGCTGAGGATGGTGGGGAGCTTCCAGAAGAGGGGGTGGGGCTAGAACATGTGGGACCACTCAGCTCCAAGTTGTCAGTCCCTGAATTTCTCATCTTTCTTTCCCAGAATGAGAACTGTGAAGTACAGATGACGTCTACACCCTGGTAAAGTAGCCTCTTTTGTCCGTCCCTCTGAGTTATTCATCCTATAGGGTACAAAATAGCATCTGTGGTTTTGAGCACCCTTTCCTGATGGCTAATGATGAGCATCTTCTCATGGGCTTCTTGGCCACTTGTAATTCTTCTTTGGAGAAATGTTTGTTCAGATAATTTGCAAGGGGTTATTTGGCTTTTGTTATTAAGTTGTAAGAGTTCTTTGTATATTCTGGATGCAAGTTCCTTATCAGAGATATGACTTGCCGGTATTTTCTCCCAATCTGTCTTTTCACAGGCTTAATGGTGTCTTTTCACATGCTTAATGGTGTCCTTTGGAGCACAGATGTTTTAACTTTGGGTGAAGTCCAGTGTATCCACATTTTTCGCTCAGTCACTTGTTCTTTTGGTATCAGTTTGAAGGATCATTGCCTAATCCAAGGTCATAGAGATTTACTCCCATATTCTTCTAAGAGTTCTAGCATTTTAGCTCAGACATTTAGGTGATCGCTTTTGAGTTAACACACATATATGGAGTGAACTAGAGGCCCAGCTTCATTCTCTGGCATACAGATATCCAGATGTCCCAGTGTGTTTCCTCTTTGAATTACGTTAGCACCCTTGTCAAAAATCAACTGGCCATACTTTCCATGTACAATTTGATTAACAGTTTGTCCTTGGACAAGTTATTTAACCTAAGTCTCCATTTTTCTCACCTCTAAATTGGAGCAATACCAAGAATACTGTCCATCACTGGGGAGCTTTGAGCGTCAGTGAGATAATACCCACAGAGTACTTGGGGATCTGCCTGACAAATGGGAGCTCAGCAAAATCAGCTAATGTTATTACTATTATTTTATCATTCATTCCTTTGAAGGCCAAGGAAAGTTATTTCCTCACAGCAGTGTCTGGTGATGCTAAACATGGAGGGAAGTTGATAAGCGAGCTCCCAGTCTCTGCTTTCAAGGAGATGTGGCCTTATTAGGGCCTGAGGTTGGAAATTGTTCAGGTCTGTTCACCTGGAGCCACTAGGGGATTGGGTCTCAGGATGCAAAGAATGGTGGCACAGAGGGAGGAAGCTTCTGGTAAAGGCAAGGACCTGCACAAAGCCTCAGTCTAGGAATATCCTGGACTCTCAGAGCTGACAGACCCTTTCAGAAAGTAGCAGCTGGTGAGGCAGTAGATCAGGTAGAGTCTCGGATGCCAGGAGCCTGGACTTGTTCAGGGCAGGGGTATGATAAACAGAAGGCAAGTGTTGAGCATGTTGTGACGGCTCCTGCCCTACCTGTGAGGGATGGGGAGTAGGGGCAGACCTGTGGGGGTGCAAGGTGAGATCAGTAATGCAAAGGGGTTTTATCAGTTGCATGAATACACAGGATGATTTTTATTTCAGGAGCAGGAAGAGCTTACCAAAGACTGGGCTCCACAGGAGCGGGGTCCTTATTTCCCCAGCTCAGAACAGCCCTTACTGTAGAGTCTAGTCCAGGGCATCAGCCAGAGGAGCTCAGGGCCCCTTGTCCCCTGTGCTGGTCACAGGCCATATGGAAAGTGTCTGGAAGACTTTAACTTTTGCCTTTCTGGGCTTTTCAGATCTTGCTAAGGAGGCAGAGGGTTCAATGAGTCCCTAATTTTTTTTTGAGTACCTGCTGAGAGTAGGCCAGCTAAGACTTGGTCGTAGGGAAACTTTACATCTGCAGTCCCAGTAAGTGCTAAAGACCGTACTGGAAGTTAAACACAATTAGCCCCATTTTACAGATGAGACAGTGAGGCTCAAGATCACAGAAGCCGAGGTCCAGCTGACCCAGAGCTGTGTTTCCTCCACAGAGGTGGAGTGTACAGGTCCTCTGAGCCAAGGTCCTCTGTCTCCACAGTTCACAGCCCCTGGACGTGCGGCTAGGCTTCAGCCTGTGCCAGGCGGAGCTGGAGTTCCTGCAGAAGCGGAAGGTGGTGGTGGCCGAGGCTCTGAAGCAGGTGTTGCAGCTGGAGGAGGACCTGCAGGAGGACGAGGTGGGTAAGCAGAGGTCTGTGTCCCGTGCCTGCCCTGGGCTGAGCTTGTCCTTCCAACACCGTGCCCGGCCAGCCACCTCCTGGCCTTCCCTGCCCAGGATGGCCTCAGCACACCCTCCCCGTTGCTCTTACCACTGAGGTACCTGGTGCCCAGGTGAGGGCTGTGCTGAATGTCATTCAGTTGTAAGATCACGAGGGGACGGGAGAGGAGGGCAGAGTCGGGGGAGGAGCCCCAGCTTCTCCCTGTGCACTAACAGATCCCGAAGTGGCCGATGAGGACTTATTTGTGGACAACATGGCCTCTTTGCCCCAGCTAGGAAAACATCTGGGGCTCCTCCTCCTCTTATGCCCCCCTACCTCCACCCAAAGGCTCTAGGCCCTTCGTTCTTCAATCTCCCCTCCCCTAAATGTGCCACCCTCTCCCTACCCCTAGAGAATAGCAGTCAGATGCTGGAGAGAAGCAGCTTCCGCTACTCACAGAGCCAGCCTCTTCACAGTGCCTTGGTGAGAGCTCTGTGGCCTCCCTGACGTGCACTGAGGCCTGGTACTCCCTGTGAGAACCCGACTTCTGAGGTGGTCCCCAGGTGCCAGTGGGAACTGAGGAAGCTGTGAGGGGCTCTAGGCCTTGGAGGGCTCACACAGTCCCCACTCAAATGCAGACAGCAGAATCTTGGCAGAGAGCCCCTCCTCCCTCCCCCATCTTTAGGGAGGCACAACCAAGGGCATCTTAAACCCATGTAAGCCCAACGGTGACAACCCTGCTGCTTCCTGCATCAAAAATCCATTACTCCAGCTCTTACACAGATGGCATAAACTGAGCACATCTCAGGCACCAGACCTGGGCCTCGGGCACCGGCATCAAATCCCTCTACAGGAGGTGTTGATTTGCCACCCTTAGGGAATCACACCCAAGCTGAACTTGAGCAAGTCACCCAGACCCCTGAACCCCAACTTCATCACCTGTCAATTGAGACCCAGGTTATCAGTTCAACTTTCTGTTCCACTAAGCCTGTGTCAGGCTTTGGCGCCGCTGAGGCTTGATGTCAGATCTAGTCCCTGCTGGTGGCCCACAGGTCTCTCCCTGCCTGACTGCCCACTGTCTGTATCCTCCACGTTCTTTCTAAGCTCTGTCAAGCCAAGTCTTCTCCTGCCAGCACGGCCCTGACAGCCCGTTGTGTGCCCCCAGGTACCACTGATCGCCATCATGGCCACAGGGGGTGGAACAAGATCCATGACCGCCATGTATGGCCACCTGCTCGGACTGCAGAAGCTGAACATCCTGGACTGTGCCAGCTATATCACTGGCCTATCGGGGGCCACCTGGTAAGGAGTGGGGGTGGCTGTCTTGTGGAGTCCGCGCAAGCAGTGAACAGGCCTGCCTGGAGTCCCTAGGAAGCTCCCCCTGTCCTGAGTCAGAACAGCTTATGAAGCCTGGGCAGCTCTAGCAGCTGTAGCTGTGTGACCTTGGACACGCAGCCTCACTTCTCTGGTCAGGGTCACAGTAACACTGACCTCATGGGCTCTCCTGGTACTGGGTACCCGGGAACAGTATCTACATCACCCATGTTGGTTGTTCCCAACATGACTATTTCCCTGGGTCTAGAGAAGGACCCAAGAGCGTGGTGGCCAACCGTGAGGGAACCCCTCGTGCTGCTGACCCGTCTGCCTGTGCCATCCTGCCATCCTCTCTGGAACTGTCACGAGTCTTTGGGGGAGGGGGAAGAAGTGGAGCTGGTCTAGCTGCCTGGCTGCCCACAAGCCAGCCCATGCCCTTGCCTGCCCACTCCTGCTGCCCTCAGGCTGTCAGGGCCTTGCTGGTAGGAGAAGACGTGGTTATGCCTTCAGGCTCCCACCTCCTCACTCTCCTGAGCTAGGAGAGTGAGCTGTCTTCTCCCCAGAGGTGAAGCCTGGGGAGAGCAGCTTCTCCCCAGGAGCCTCAGTACCCAGGGCGTAGAGGGGTGCACAGGTGCCCACAGAAATGCCTTGATTTCTTTGAAGATCAGAAGAAAAATGAACTTTGAGGTTGAGAAAAAAGTTTTAATATTAATATTACCTTATCTTTAGGTAACATAATCATAACACATAATTTTAATTTTTTTTATATTTATATGACTTTTTACTTAAGTCTTAATGCAGCCCATCTTGGATCTTGGGTCCCCATGATCCAAGGCCTTAGCCCCTGAAGTCCCCCCATCTGGGAGGAGCTCTGGGTAGCGTTCATTTGTGTAAATTTACCTTAAGAAAACCAAGGGCTCCTGGTGCATCAGGGCCCTGAGGTCTGAGCCCAGGAAGGCCAGAAGGAAGAGCTGACAGTTACCGCCACTGTCTCCATACCGAGCCACAGGGTAACTGCTTCTGATGGACCATCTCCCTTCTCCACAAGAAAACTGTGAGGGGCATGTTGTCATCGTGCTCATTTTGCAGTTAGAGACATAGACCCTTGCCCAGGGTCACTCAGCTGGCCTTGAACCCATGCTCTTCGAGTCCATGTTCTTAATCTCCAGGTTAAACAGCTGTCCATGGTAGTAGATTAAGGAGACAAACCTGCTTCCATCAGAGTCTGGGGCTGGGGATTGGGCACCTGTATTCTCCTGGCCTCCTGCTGGGCTGGAGTGGGAGGAGTGACTAGGGGGAGCATCAAGGGAGCAGGAGGGCCTCCTGGCCTGGGATAGCACTTTTGAAAACCAGTCATTTGCATTGATTTTGAAAGTTTTTTGAAAGTCTAGCCATAATAGAGTGACCCTCATGGAGAGCAGAGTATTTTTATGGAAGAAATCTAGCCAACTCCTACCATGCCAGGTCAGAAACAAGCCCTGTGGAGGAAGGCCACTGTTACACGAATGTGCAGCCAAGGGCAAGGTCCATCCCCTGTGGGCCGGGGCCTCCTGGCTGCTGTCCCGATCATACTGAGAAAAGCTGGGTCCAGACCAAGAGGAAGCCCCCAAAGAGCCTGGGCTAGAGGGAGAATCCATCTTTGTTTTTCTCCTTCCCATGCCCTCATATAAAGTTAGAAGAAGGGGAAGTAAATCTTTAGTCGGTGTATCATAACTTTGAGAACTAAAGAGGCAAAGTAAAAGGAGTCCAGGATTTGGAATGAGCCAAATGTTGGCTCCACCACTCACGGTCCAACTCATTTAATCTTCACAGTAACTGTGTGAGGCAGGTACAAGTATCGCAGCTCCCCCATATTGTGTCTGTCTCAGCCTATTGCTAGGAGGGCCTTAATAGCATGCTCGAAGTGCCTGGGGCCACTCGCCTGGGCCGATGATGAGTTTCTCATAGACGCTTTTCCCTTTTAAGTCAATATAATGACTGGACTGGCCCGTGGGGTTACTGTGATTGCAAGGTGCCCTGCAGCGGTAACCATCAGGAAACTAGAGTCAGAGGGAAGGTTATTGCATATAAGCCCTGGAAACTGCACAGCACACCTAGGCCACATTGAGGTCCTGGGGAACCTGGGGGTGAGGGGAGATCACATGGGCCTGGAGTCCTGCTTTTATTGGTGCTAATGGTGGGGGGTGGGGGGTGGGCAGCATCTAAGGTTTGGAGGCTTAACTCTTTGGTGAGGAATAAAATTATAAGACAGGAAGTTAAATGCAGGAAAAAAGATTTAAAAAAGGAAAAAGACAAAGACAAGTGGGCCCCAGCTGATCAGTTATTTGAATTAAGCAGGATCTGTGAAACAAGGAGCCTTGGGGGCTGGGGGAGGGGAGTTAGGCAGTGTGGCTCTTGTGTGGGAGTGCGGCTGGCTGGCGGTGTGCTGGTTTGAACTACAGCCGCCTTTGAAGTGGATGCCTGGGCATTGAGGTTTAAGTGAGGCGCTTGCATTTCATAAAAATAAATGTGCTCAGGTTTATATCCCACCCCCATTCCACAGATGAGGAAACTAGGGTGAAGAGTGGGTTAAGAAACTTGTCCAGGATCACACAGCTAATGAGTCTGGTATTGAACCCAGGAAGGTTTGGGTCCAGAATCCTCACTCTTTTTTTCTTCTTTTTTAAAGATTTATTTATTTATACAAGCACTGGGGTACAGGCCAGAGGTGTGGGAGGGTGAGAGGATTCACCAGAGACAGAGTGGGGAGCAGAACAGGCAGAAGGACTGAAATACACTGCTGAGGGGAGCAGTGGGCGAGACAGGAGAGGTCTGCCACGCCACATGGGTATCTCCTTGGCTGGCCGGGAAGCAAACCAGCGCTGCAGAGGCTGCGGACAGCTTCACAGCGCTACTCTCAAGCCGCTGCGCCACCAGGGAGGCCCCAGAATCCTCACTCTTTTTTTTTTTAAATATTTTTTTAAGATTTATTTTATTTATACAATAGCTGGATACAGGTCAGATGTGTGGAAGGGTGAGAGAATTCACCAGAGACAGAGTAGGGAGCAGAACAGGCAGACAGAGCGAAAACACTGCTGAGGGGAGCAGCGGGCGAGACAGGAGAGGTCTGCCACGCCATGTGGGAATCTCCCTGGCTGGTTGGGAATCGAACCCACGCTGCAGAGGCTGCGGACAGCTTCACAGCACTGCGCTTAACCTGCTGTGCCACCAGGGAGGCCCCAGAATCCTCACTCTTAAGCAATATGCCACGTACCTGAAATGGTGACAGCTGCAACTACTGTTCACCCCTGCAAAGTAATACTGTTCACCCCCGCAAAGCCCCTTCACCTCAGTCCTTTCCCTCTGGGTGCCTCTCCAGGCAGGCTAGGGCTTCCCACAACTTCCCTGCCATCTCTCTGCTAGGATCTGGGATTGATGGCACCAGGGCTGGCTCAGATCTGTCAGCCATACCTATCTCTCCAGGACCATGGCTACCTTATACAGTGACCCCGAGTGGTCTTCCAAAAACCTGGAACCTACCATCTTTGAGGTTCGGAGGCATGTGGTCAAGGACAAGATGCCTGCCCTGTTCCCAGACCAGCTCTGCAAATTCCAGGAAGAGCTCCAGCAGCGCAGCCAGGAAGGCTACAAGGTCACCTTTACAGACTTCTGGGGCCTGCTGATCGAGGCCTGCCTGGGGGATGAGGTAGGTACCCAGCCTGCCCTGGCTGAGGTCTAGCACGCTTCCTTCATCAGGGGGTATCTGGACTTGCATGGCAGTACCCTTGGGCAGGTGCATCCTCGGGCTGTACCAAGCAGGGGGTGCCCGAAGTCATGATGGAGGAAGGCGGTAGGATTGTCTTCATATCCCCTTAGCTTATGACAGAGACTTGGTATTGGGGTGGTTCAGACAGGGGAGGCAGCCTGTCCTCTGAGAGCCGTACTGAGATACCTGTAAGAGAAGGGGAGGGAGCTGGTGAAGGCTGGAGAGCTGTCAGGCTGTGATACAAGTCTGACCCCAAGTGGAGGCAAGAGGGAAGAAAAGCTGGGTGGAACATGCTAGACTACTGTGTGGTTGGTCTAGAAGGTTCTACAAGGTCTTACCGCATCCTCTAGCCAAATTGGCTGTGAGGGCAATCCAGTGCCCCCCAGCATGTGCCTGCCTCAGTATCCCTGCCCCAGTCAGTCCCGGGCTAGGAGTGGCCCGATGGGAAGTGTGACCTCAGCACAAACTCAGTTTTGGATTTCAGAGCACAGTGGGGTGGAGGTGGGGGGTTCTGTCAATTCTACCCCCTGTAGCTGGAGGTCTGCTTGGCGCCTTCTCAGGCCACCACACAGAGAATGGGCCCAAGAAGGCTCCTTCCCACGCCGAGATCCAATTTTTGCCCAAGGGAAGAGCCTGTGTTGGGCTGTGAGAGGCATATGGAATGAAGGGAAGGAGGTGGGGGAGGGGTGGAGCAGGGGAAAGAAGGGAGCCCTGGGATCCCCCTGGGATGCTATGGTCCTGGGCTTCAGGGCGAGCCCAGGAAACACAGACCCCCAAAGAGGAAACAACTTTGGCTGCTGCTTAGCCCCAAAGCAGAGCTTTCCACAGAACTTCCATCCAGGTCCATGTCCATCTTGCCCACTCCCAAAGGTGCCTGAAGAACTCCAAATTCAAATCAGAACTCAGCAGAAGTAGGAAAGACAGCTAATTATTTTCTAGTAGGTCCCCTTTTCCAGAAAACATAGACAGTTTGAGCAAACAAGGATGACTTAAACCTCGTCTTTACTCATTTACTCTCTTGTATATTCTTTCAACAAAAGTACCGCCTGCATGCCAGACACTGCTCAGCATAGGGATTCGGGTCAAGGCAGTCACAGAAGATGGCTCCCAGCCCACCCTGCCCCTTGTGCTCACCCCCATCTTATCTGTCACCCTGATGAAGCAGGACAGAGAGGCTGAGGTGTTGACTTTTGGATTCAGGCAGAACGGGGTTAAAATCTGGCCTGTTCTGGCCAGATGGGAATTACACCACTAACTGGTAGTAACAATTCTAACAATAGTTCCCCATTAATGGGAAGGAAAGCCCTAGGGCTTTGATACAGAAGTCTGAGCTTTGCCAGGGTTTGGTGTGAAGAAGAGCCCAGGTTCCTAGGAAATCAAGTCTAGGATGGATGTCAGGCCTCTGCTCTTCCACTCCGGCCCAGCAATGAGTGTGGACTGGCCTCTTCCTGAGTCTACAGCGTCCTCTGCTTCCAGGATACGCAGTGCCCTTATCATTGGGCCCAGTTATGACAGACACCCTGTTTGCCTTTCAAGGGAGACCCAGGAGTACATGACCCACCCCAGACATGTTCGGCACCTCACACAGATTCTATGGCCTTCACATGTGATTGGCCATGGGCGGTCACCCAGCACACAGCTGCTTGGCCTGGGGCAAGGCCTGGGTCACAAAGCCATTCACTGGCTTTGTCTACCAGCTTGAATGACAGAGAGGTGGCCTGTGGGCTTGTTCACAGGACTTCCGCTCTGGTCACACAGCACTCTGGGACCTAAGAGAGACTGTGGCTACCCTCTGGTGCAAGTTTCCATGTCTTTGTTTAAAAAAAAAAAGGAACTTTTTTACCCCTCCCAAACAAATTTTATGAGGGAACCCAACATAAAAGCAGTTGAGAAAAGTGAAGTTGCTCTTGCTTTAGTAGGGTGGGAGATGCTGGGGATGAACAGGGAAATGCTGGTGGCCTCTTCCACCCTTGCCTTTTCATCCTCTGATCCTCGAGATGAGAGGAGAACCCTGGTGCTCTGGGGGAAGCCCAAGTAGCAGATCCAGTCCTGCTCCCCTGGTTGGGGGGTGAAGGGGTGTTAGGAGGGGAATGTCCTGAGAATGTTCTGCAGGTGCATTTTAAAGGTTTATTTTTATTTATTTATGCATACAAGAACCGGGGTGTAGGCCAGAGGTGTGGGGGTGAGAGGATTCACCAGAGACAGAGTGGGGAGCAGAACAGGCAGATTGACCGAAATACACTGCTGAGGGGAGCAGCAGGCAAGTCAGGAGAGGTCTGCTGCGCCATGTGTGTTTCTCCCTGGCCGGGGATCGAACTCATGCCTCAGTGGATGGCATGAGACTTTAACCCCTGCGCCACCAGGGAGGCCCTACAGGTGCATTTTAAGGCCGCCAGGAGTCCAGGTTGTCCTCTTGTTCTGTTCTTCTCCCAGGCTGCCTGTCTGCTTCTTCTCCTAAGCCATTTTTTTTTCCTCACAGAGAAACGAATGCAAACTGTCCGAGCAACGTGCTGCTTTGTGCCGGGGCCAGAACCCCCTGCCCATCTACCTCACCATTAATGTCAAGGATGATGTAAGCAACCAGGATTTCAGAGGTAACACTGGTGGCCTGCAATTTCCAGGGAGGGGGGCAGGCAAAGGCACCCAGCACCCCAGCACAGACACCACCATACCTTTACTAACCTCCACATCCAAACACTGTGCTAATGCTGAAGAATTTGACTTTGCTACCCCCTTCTGTTCTGCTTCATGGATAAAGCTGGTGGGCAGGACCCCATGGCTTCTCGAGGCAGGGGGTTGATGAGACAGAAGAAATAAAGGTCGTACAAGGAAAGTGCCCTCATATTTCTTAAGCTGCCCAGAGGTGGGAACTCTAGAGACCTGCCCTGTTGCCCTGTCAGTTTTGGTCCTTGTTGATCCAGTTTTGAGGTGCAAATGAGGCGTGCGGGTGCAGAGCCAGCCTGCTGGGAGAGCAGAAGTAGCTGTGGGCGCCCCCGTGTGCCCCTCAGGAGAACTGCAGCCTCTGTCCCAGGCTCCCCGAGCTAAGCGGATGGCGTGGCTGTCCCAGACGGAGACTGAGCTCTGCCCTGTTGTTTTGTGTGCAGAGTGGTGCGAATTCTCCCCCTATGAGGTGGGCCTGCAGAAGTACGGGGCCTACATCCCCAGCGAGCTCTTCGGCTCCGAGTTCTTCATGGGGCGGCTGATGAAGAGGATCCCGGAGTCGCGGATATGCTACATGCTAGGTAACTCCTGGCTAGGGAGCCCCCCCAACCCCTGGGTTGAATTAGAGGAAAGACAGGGAGGCATGCTTTGTTCCCCCAGGATTTTGTCTCAGGTGCTGGGGCTGATATGGGTCAGCCCTCGAGCCTGTGACCCTCGTGGCCTCTGCCAACACCCCCACATCCCAAGAGGGTTCTGAAACCTAAGAATGGCCTTCCTGTCACACTTTTGGCCCAGAAGGACCCGATAAGGAGCCACCATGTCACTGGGGACCAGAGGCCACTGTCCCAATGTCCTGGTCTCCAGTGTCCCCCTGGAGTCTGTTCAGAGCCAGCCTGGGAGAGGCAGGCTGAGATGAGAATTTCTGGAATTTCCTCAGCCTCCAGGGCCCTCCCAGCTCCTGGGATCCAAGTGGCCACAGTGACTCTTCCTCAGGCAGAGTCTCTGGGAAGACTGGCCCAACTTCTGACCCTACGCTTTGGTCCTCCAGAAGCCAGTTGCCCTGAGAGCAGGGACCTGACCCTGGTGTCCACTCATGCTGCTTTTCCCTTCAGAGTCTAAACTGCTCCAGCATTAGGTGGCCAGAGTAGAAACAGTCACCTTACAGCCTCAGCAATAGTTATGCCCTGTTAGACTGTCTGTACAACTGCCTTCTATCTATACTGACTATCTGTGGGTAGAACAGTCTATCTGCACTGACTCAACCCATTCCAGAATAAACTCCAGCCCATTTCTTCTGCAAAGCTTTCCTAGAAGTCCCTCATCTGCAGAGGGCCTCTCCTTCCTCTGTCGCCTGTTGTTTGAGGCATGTGGTTCATAGTTCTGTTTACTATGACACTTGTGCTTAAAGGCTGGTTCCTGTGAGGAATTGTTCAAATTATCAACCTCTGGGCCTCAGTTTTCACATCTGTAAATTGGGCATAAGAATAAAACCTACCTTAGAGGTGATCCTAATGGGTCAGTGTATGTGACCCATTAATGACATTAATAAGTTGCATTTTAAATCATAACAGTAAGAGAAAACATCACATTTATGTAGTGCTCACCATGAGCCAGGTGCTGTCCTAAAATAGTGCATTAACTGGTGTCAGGGTGCCATCTAAACTTGTACTCAAAGCCTACCCTTGCCACCCTGCAGTCCCAGGTGGGACTGTACCTTGTAAACCCTCTCCCAGCCCTGAGGAAGATGAGAACAGAGGCACGGGGGTGCAGTCACCTGTGTCAGTCGAGCAGCACTGTAGGGAGAGCACATCAAAGTTGGTCCCACCCGCTGACCAGCCTGTCTTAGAGGGGGCATCAAGGCAGACGCAGTGTGTTCTGGTGGGCCTGCAGGCTCTTGGGTAGAGCTGCTCAGAGCTGGGCCTGTCCCCCCTAGGTTTGTGGAGCAGCATCTTTTCCCTGAACCTGCTTGATGCCTGGAATCTGAGCCACACCTCAGAGGAGTTTTTCCATAGGTGGACAAGGGAGAGAGTGCATGACATTGGTGAGTGACCCCCTGACTTCCCTTCTTGGTTGGGCTACGGTGGGATGGAGAGAGGTGGATCCCAAACTGAGGACCAGTCCACCTGCCGCATGTTTCACTGTTGTCCCGATGGCCCACAGAGATGGGAAGCAACTGGGGTTCGAGGGTATTCCTGGCTGGAGGGGAGGCTGAGTGTAGGTAGACACCTGTGCCCAGGCCCAGCCGCCAGTTTCAGGACCAGCTGGGCCTCCTTGGGGGTGTGGATCCACTGTGCGATAGATCTGGCAGAGTTGCATGGTGCCTGGGACAGCTGATGCAGGTAGGAATCTACACGCACAGTTAAAGGTTGCCCAAAACTCTGTATCCTCTCAGGGCCCCCCCCCCACCTTACCTATCATCCCCCTTCTTCATTTTCTTGTCTGTACAAACAGTGGCCTCCACTACCCTGCCCTTGTTCTGAGTCTCTCCCCTGGGTTCTAGCCCCATCGCCAGGGCCTTGAGAGCGAGGCAAGGACTGCACTCACAGGCCCCCCTCCTTGGCTGCAGGCAACTGTGCAGTGCTTCCAGGGTGTCCTGGGGACCCCAGCTCTTGTGACCTGCCCTCCATCCCCCCCTCCCCTGCAGAAGACGAGCCACTCCTGCCTGAGATCCCCAAATGTGATGCCAACGCCCTGGACACCACAGTGGTGATCCCAGCTTCCTGGCTGTCTAACACATTCCGCACCATCCTCACGCACCGGGCCTTTGTGTCTGAGTTCCACAACTTCCTGCTGGGGCTGCAGCTGCACACCGAGTACCTCCAGAGCAGCGAGTTCTCCAAGTGGAAAGGTAACCCTACCTGACGCTCCTGGGGCCACCCCAGTTTGGAGGAAGAGGTGGATGTCAAAGCTGCCAGAGGAAGCTCCACGGGCATACTCGTTGGGTTTGGCAGCAAATTCTCCACGCGCTTTCCACACTTGGCCAAGTCCTGAACAGGGGCAGAGCCCTGGGTGTGTTTCATGAGTGGAGTCTGTATGAGAACTCTAGACAGAACCTGTATAACTATCCCAGCATGCAGATGTTGGGGCGCTGCCTTTCTGTGGTTGTGCTCTGGGGACACCGTTTATGTGACTGGGGCAGGGGTGGCCTGGCTCAAGAGCTGCAGATGGCAGAGCCAGGTCTTAAACTGTGACCTTGCAGCTTCAACTCAGTCTCTCCTCCCCACCCTGCTAAGACGCTGCGGTGGACTAACCACCATCTTGGGTGTGGTTTTTGGCCACAGCCTGCAGATGGCTTCACAATCCCCATCCTCACCGTCTGGGACAGAAAGGGCAGCTGGCCCTGGGTCTGCACTCATTTGTCAGTTAACCTTAGGTACACCTGCTGCCCCACATGCTCCTTGGCTGAGTCTCAGTGGATTTTCTGTACACTTTCCCTAAAAGACTTGCTCAAACCCCAGGATAATGCTCTTCTTCATCAGTCCACCCAGAGGGGCACTGGCACCCATGGGGCACCCTGGCCAAGAGGGGCGGACTGGAGGCCCAGGCCGAGGTGAAGGAGCTCTGGGCAGGGCACTCAGCTCCCTACCGGTGCCTGTGATCACGGCGGCGATCAGGGCACCCGGGACTATGGTAACCAGAAGCCTTGGCTTTCAGACACGGTGCTGGACGGTTTCCCAAACCAGCTGACACAGTCTGTGAACCACTTGTGCCTGCTGGACACGGCGTTCTTCGTCAACTCCAGCTACCCGCCCCTCCTCAGACCCGAGAGGAAAGTCGACCTCATCATCCACCTCAATTACTGCGCTGGGTCCCAGACAAAGGCAAGTGTGGCAGAGACAGGAGCCCGCCGGGAGGCAGGCCACTGAGTGAGCGCCACGGAACCCAGAAAGGGGAGAACGCGTGGTTCCCTCGCAGGCAGGCCCGGAGGCTGAGCATCAGAGAAACTTGAGCCGCTGTGCCTGACTTGAGGTTACAAGTCAAGTCCGGGGGTGGGGGTGGGGGGCAGCCAGCTGGCCCTCACAAGCCCGCGGGGCTGGGGATTTGCATAGACTCACTTAGCTAATTCCAATTTTGTTCTTGCATCTGAGCATTTGCCATATATGGCAATTCTTCAGCTGCGGAAAAAAAGGAGTTTTAAAAAATAACCTAAATAGAGCCCCATCGGCTCTAATGTTTTGTACTGCGTTAAGGTCTCGTAGTGTCCTGTTTTCAAAATAATTGCAGTTCCCACCCCGGGAAATGTAACTATAGTAAAGAACCGAAAGTGGAGATTTTTGTTTATTTTTATTTATATGCTTTTGAAAAGTTCTGGTCATTTATGGGAAGAAACTGGATTTTAGTCTCCTTTAAATAGCCCTGTCTTGCAGCCAGGGAAGGGGCGGGTGGGACATGATAAGGATGATGCCCGTGACCTCAGCTTACAAATGAATGACACTGTGCTTTCCTGCACAAGATCTCGCTTAATCATTACACCAGCTCTTTGAGGTCGAGGGCACAACTGCTCTTATTCCCATGTGATAGGTGTGCAAACTGAGGCACAGAGCAGGTAAGTGGCTTGCCTAAGAGCCTGCAGCTCGTGAGAGTGGCACGGAGAGTAAAGGTATTCTGACACTCAAAGTCCACGGCTCTTTCCTTAGGTCAGGGCCTGGTCATCCCCATGGCACTTATTTCCAGAGCCTGCGCATGACCCACAGGAGCCTAGCCAGTCATGCCTACACACGGCTCAGCAACAGTCACCCTCAAGCTGCCCCCACACCAGCCCAGGTCTGTGTTAGGGCAAAGCAATGGTGATGGGACTTCTGTCCATTTTACTTGGAGAAGGAACTTACAGTTGGGCACACACCGACCTACTGCCTCAGGCCCTTTGTCCTGGCCCAGCTTTGTTCTAAAAATAGCTCAAATAGGCAAAGCAGTTGGAGCCCTGAGTGGTTAGCTGGGAAATTCAGGAAGCTGGATCTAAGAACTGGGTGTTTCTTATCTACTTTCACTCCTCCTAATACTCAAAGTTCTCCAACTGTGCTCTTCCAGCCCATGAGACAAACCTGTGAGTACTGCACCGTGCAGAACATCCCCTTCCCCGAATACACTCTGCAAGACGAGGAGAATAATCTCAAGGAATGCTACCTGATGGAGAACTCCCAGGAGTCTGATGCCCCTACTGTGCTTTTCTTCCCACTCATCAATGACACCTTTCAAAAATACAAGGCCCCAGGTAAGCCACCTCCCAGCTCAGCTCCCACCTCCCGGCTGGGCTTGGACTGAGAGTCCTGTCTTTAGACTTGTGCAGTCTTGTAGAAGCACAGATGGGGAAGGCTGGGCCAGCTCCTGTCTGAGCCAACATTTGATTCAGCAAGGAAAAAAAGACACCTCTCCCAAGCCCTCCACCCCCCCATGAGCTGGCCTTGTCACCCTCTACTCTTTCAGTCATTCAACATTTATTGACATCTAGCTGGTGTGTTGGTGCCAGGGGCAAGTGTGCATGCATGTGTGCACACGTGTGCATGTTTTCGCGCAGGTGTGTGTGCAGGGACGGGCCCCAGGAAGAGATACAACACCTACAGTCTATTACAACCTAAGGTAACAAGAGTCTAGAGCAAGATTTTCTCCTTCCAGGTGTGGAGCGGAGCCCCGAGGAGATGGAGCAGGGCCAGGTTGACATTTATGGCCCCAAAACTCCCTATGCCACCAAGGAGCTGACGTACACAGAGGCTGCCTTCGACAAGCTGGTGAAACTCTCTGAGTATAACATCCTGAATAACAAGGATAAGCTCCTTCAGGCCTTGCGTCTGGTGGTGGAGAAGAAGAAACGCCTAAAGAGCCAGTGTCCCCCCTAAGTCCCAGGAAACTGGTGATTCTGTGTCTGCTTCTGCCGTCAGAGGCACGGAGCCCTCAGGGCTGAGGCCTGCACAGCCAGCTCCACTCTCTCTGGCAAGAGGTGCAGGCGGGCTAACCTGGGCTTTCTACCAAAAATTAAATTTTTTTTGAAGTTCAGGGAGACAGAGAAAGACAAAAGAAAGTCACAAGGGGATGCATTTGGATGTATATGGGGTTTTATGCCCCACCAGGATGTTTTCAAACTTTTCCCTGCAGGGCAGGGCATCCACTAGCCACAGGCTCCTACATATGCCTTAAGTGTGGAGACTGTAAATGTGGCCAGAGAACGAGGCTGGTTTCCCAGAAACCTTGGGTTTCAATGCAGCTCAGAGCCCTCCCTCCTACCTCCTCTCTGCCTCCTCCTGTGGAAGGCCTTGGGAAATGCACAGGAGGACCTGAGAAGCAATCTGGGTTCAATGAAAAACCCTTTTTAAATTTAAGGCAATTGTATCACATGATTTTTATAGGCAATTCTGTTTCGCGGTTTTTATTTTTATGAATCAGGGTATTTGTAAAAGGCACGATGCTAGAAGATCTAGATGAAGCACTAGAGATAGAGACAGCCTGGTCTCTTCAACAACAAAGCCAAAGGGTTTTGGCAGCTACGCTCCAGCCACCAGAGCCCCAGGACTGGGGATCCAGACCAGGCAGCCCCTTCTGAACATCGAGCTCTGAGGAGATGCCGGGCAAGGCAGGGCTGTGGTGTGCAGCGCAGGCAGGTGCATGCGGGCAGGTGCCTGGAGCCAGGCACATACCCCCATCTCCCAGACGCCCATGCTCAACCACAAACCCACTCCAGGAGCACTTCTCAGTTCCCTCACCTCCCTCCTCTCTGGTGTCCAGATGGGATTATTTATTTTGAAATGGAATTCCTCTTATTCAGCAGGTGAACAACGTGGCCAGCGCCTCCCAGCTCTCAGGGTGTCACCTTTAGAAAATGAAAGGACTCCTTTACCTCTGGGAAGGAACCCATCCTTGGAGATGGTTTCCCAATGAAACCAGGGATACAGAGAAGCCCAAGTAGTGGGGTTCCCACTGTGTATTTTGTCCTGGCTGGGGACTAAAGAAATGTGTGACCTAAGCTCTTAAGATGCCCAGGCTGATGGAATGAGACCAGAAAATGTGTGGTCCCGTGATGCCCGGCAAACCTCGACGACGTGACCCCTTTTCTGGGCCACCCACCTCCTGAGGCAGCATTTTGGTTGTGAGGAGAAGTGGCGACAGGTGTCAGAAGTTTAGAAACACTGCCTCCGGTTTATGTTCTTGCTACTGCAAGAGTTTCGGGAACTAGTTAGACCGCGGCATCTCAGGCCCCACCCCAGCTAGACTGACCAGAATTTGCATTTTAAGGAGATTCCCAGCTCCTCGCTGCCGCCTCCTCCCTGGTGATTCTTGTGTGTATGCAAGTGAGAGGCATGGACTGATGCCTCCCACTTTACAGGAGGCCACGCTCTCCTGTAAGCTCGGAATGTGTGGCGCACTCGGCTCCCTTGAGCTAACTATAACATGAGCTTTTGTCTTGAGGGGGCAGGTGGTGGACCCCACCTGTCCCCTGGGATCCTTTGTTCTTTTCTGAAAATTGCTCATGAGACTGTTTTCCTCCCTGCTTGGGTCAGCTGCCCCATCTCTGCTGCTGCTGGGCAGCAGGAAGAGCCAAGGTGCCTGTAATTTTTAAATATGAATTCAACTTTTAATCAGAGCAAACTGATCCCTGCCCAGATAGTGCTAACCTGGGACGTCACCCTTCACTTCCACCATAGCAGCCGCCTTCACTTTGGCATCTTTTCTTTCCATCAGCAACCAACAGGCTCTTCTTAAATGATCAGAGTGAACGTGGCAAGACCTGTTTGTTGTAAGCTCGGGGCAGCCACGCCTTGGATTCATTAAGGATGTGAAATGAGGCTAATAAAGTCATTGTATGATTTGACCACACAATAAAATGGACTTATGGGTAAATGCTGTTTATTCATAAGCTTTCATGATCTGATGCTGCAAAGCATGCTTAACTCCTGTCCTCATCCCCGCTGGGATTTCTACACACACACACACACACACACACACACACACACACACACACCCCTTCTCACCCATCCCTCCACTCCCCACCAGAGAGGGCCTCCTCTCCCAGGCCTCCTTCCCCCTGCAGGGGTTGCCATCTTCTTGGGATGGGCACTCGGTGCTCTGTTTTTATGAAGCCATGGCAACCACCCGTGGAGCACCACTTCCTGCTGCCCAGCTGTCTGCAGCTCAGCTGGTTTTCAGGAAGCAAGGCTTAAGAGGAAGGAAGGGCAGCCCCATCCGCCGAGCACTCACTAGGTGCACAGAGGTCATAGAGGTGCGTGGGCCTCTGCTTTCCAGGAACTAGATTTGAAGTTGAGGGGGGAGATTTTCATGCAGACTGGACAAGTTAAATCATGATATAGTTTCTAAAATGACGCCGGCTATGTCACGGAGCAGGCAATGAGGAAGGGCCACACAAGAGATAAGGACAAGTGTCATCAACTCAGAAAGGATTGGGCAGAGTGTCCTGGAGAGGGCTCCCTCCCCAGATCCCCTGCTCTCTACCCGTAACATGATTAAATAGAAAAAATAAATACCCCCCACCCCCAGGATGCCTTGCTCCTTGTCTCCCCTTCTTCCTAAGAGAGCACCCAGCATACCACCCTGCCACACAGGCCAGTCCCCTGTCCCACAACAGATGTTTTCTGCCCCTAGGTCTCCATGAAAACACTTCTTCCCAAGGTCACCAGTGTCCACCTAATTGCCAAATACACTGAGCCAAATGGCACTGTCCTTTACAGGCCTTATCTTACTTGATTGTTCTCAGCCCTTGGCACTGCAGACCACTCCCTCCTTCCTGAAACCCTCCCTTCCCATGACTTCCTTGCCAACAGCAGTTCAATTCAGTTCTGCCTGCACACATTTATTGCCTTCTCACTCCATGCCAGTCAGTGTTGGGGGCACTGGAAAAATAAAAAAGATTAACAGTTGACCCTATGCTTCAGAGAGTTTCCTTCTGGTCCCATGTAGGAAGCCTGTGTGGAAACAGAGCCTTGCAGTATGAAGAGAAAGTTCCTATTAGCTTTGTAGAGGAGGGGCACAAGGGAGGGGCCATGAACGCAGCCCAAGAGGGAAGGTTTATAGGACCCCTTGTCCTGGATTCCTTCCCACGTTCATGTCCCCTCTCTGGCCTCACCCACTTGGTGGCCCCCAACTCTCATTCAAGTACTAGTATCCCTTCAGATTTTCCACTTAGCCCTCCTCTCTTCTTGCTGTGTTCACCTTTTTTTTTTTTTTTTTTAAGATTTATTTATTTTTATACAAGAGCTGGGGCACAGGCCAGAGGCATGGGAGGGTGAGAGGATTCACCAGAGACAGCGGGGAGCAGAACAGGCCAACGAAATACACTGAAATACACCGAAATACACTGCTGAGGGGAGCAGCGGGCGTGACAGGGGAAGTCTGCTACGCCATGTGGGAATCTCCCGGGCAGGCCGGGATCAAACCCATGTTGCTGTAGAGGCTGCAGACAGCTTCACAGCGATGTGCTCAACCCGCTGCACCACTGGGGAAGCCCTTTAGCATGTCGTCTACACCCAGGACTTCAACTCTTGCTTCTGTTTTGAAAACTGTCAACCTTTAGTTCTATTCAAGCCAGTTTCCTGAATTATAGATTCACATATTCAAATTCTGTACCAGTTGTCATTATTTTCACTTTATAAACCCAAAATATCTAATATAGTGACTTAAACAAGATAGAAGATGTTTATTTCTCTATTGCTTATCTGGGACCCAGGTTCCTTTCAGCTTTTACTTCTACCATCCTCAAGTTTGCCTTCTGGCCCAGTGCAGTTGCTGGAGATCCACCCATCATGTCCACATTTCCAGCAGCAGGGAGGATAAGGGCGCTGGGTTGCTGCTGACTATGAAGACACCAGCCCAGCCCTAGTCTACCTAGCTTTCTTTTCTCTGAACGAACTAAACTTTTATCTTAATAAGAAAATAAGAAATGCCAGCCGTTTCAGTTATCGCTGAGCAACAAAACCTCCCCAAACAGAATGGCATAACATAAGCACCATTTGATTATGCCCACAGATTCAAGAATTTGCAAAGGACATAAGGGCAATGTTTATCCACCCCATGTGTGGGGCCTCAGCTCACATGACTTCAACTGCTGGAGAAAACTCAGATGACGGTGGTTGAGAATAGCTGGGGTGGAGGGATCCACTTTTGAGATGGCTCTTTCACTCACATGCCTAGGCCGAAAGACTGAGGCAGAAGAACAGGCCCAGTCAGGACTGCCCTTCAGACCTCCTTCCTGTGGCCTTGCCAGCATGGTGGTCTTGGGATAGTTTCCTTAAATGGCCCCTCAGGGCTCCAAGGGAGAGAATGTCACACAGTAGCAGCTGTGTGGCCAGCCTATTGCCTCACTCAGAAGTCACACAACCTCATTTCCACAGCATTCTGTTGGCAGAAGCATTTACAAGTCAGTCTTGAAATTAGTTTAAGTCCTCTAACATTGTTATTTTTCCAAACCGTTTTGGCCATTCAAGGTCCTGTGCATTTGCATATGAATTTTTGGAATCGACTAGTCAATTTCTACAAAAATAAAAATTTCCTGGGATTGCACTGTATCTATCAGTTTCTGGAAAATTGACATCTTTTTTTTTTTTTTGCAGTGACCTCATCAGCAGTAGGAATTATAGATGTTTTTCTATTGCAGTACAGTTATTGCAGAATTTCTCAAAAAATCTTTTATACTCATCATTACTTAGAGGTTTTGGCAATTAATGGATCTGCCACTTGTTTTCGTTATTAAATAGATTAAAGAAGGATATATATTGCATAAAGTGACTTAGGGTCTTAGTACTTTGGTATATTTCAATATATTGGTTTCTTTATATTATATTTTATGTGAAGTGATTCAGAACAGGCTACTCAAAATCATGCCACCTTGGCACACTGATTCTTTCTATGGAAAATTGACATCTTAACAATATTAAGACTTCTGATCCATGATCATGAGAAATTTAGTCTTTATTTCTCTAATAATGCTTTGTGATTCTCATTATATAGATCTTGAATATTTTTAATTATTTTTATCCCTAAGTATTTCATAGTGTTGAAATGATAACAATTTTTTAAACTATTTTTTTTAAGGTTTATTTTTATTTATGCATCAAGAACTGGGGGTGTAGGCCAGAGGTCCGGTGGCGTGAGAGGATTCACCAGAGATAGAGTGGGGAGCAGAACAGGCGGATCTACTGAAATACACTGCTGAAGGGGGAAGCGGGTGAGACAGGAGAGGTCTGCTGCACCGTGTGGGTCACCTCCCTGGCCAGAGATCAAACCCATGCTGCGGTGGCTGGCGATAGTTTGACAGTGCTGAGACTTTAACTCCTGTGCCACCAGGGAGGCCCCAGTAATGATTTTGATTTTTTTATTTCAGTGTCCAATTGCTCATTTCTAATATTGAAAATGTAACAAGATTTTTGTATATATATTTTATATCCAAGCAAATTTATTAAACTCATCTATTAGTCCTAGTAGCTTATTTTGTAGATTTCACAGAATTTTGTATCTGATGATCATATCTTCTGCAAATAAAGGCAGTTCTACTTCTTCCTAGCTAATCTAGATACCTTTTCTTTTTCTTGACTTGCTGTTCCAGAGGCTAGAACCTCTAGCATGATGTCAAATAGAAGTGGAGGACTAGATATCTTTACTTGTTTCTGATCTCAAAGGAAAATCATTCAGTTATTTCACCATTAAGTAAAATGTTGCAGAAGTCTATTCTGGGCATTTTCATGAATTTTTTTTTTAAAGATTTATTTATACAAGCACTGGGTACAGCCAGAAGCGCGGGAGGGTGAGAGAATTTACCAGAGCCAGAGTGGAGAACAGAACAGGCAGAAGGACCGAAGTACACTGCTCAGGGGAGCAGCAGGTGGCAGGAGAGGTCTGCACGCCATGTGGGTCCCGCGGCTGGGGATTGAACCAGCGCTGCAGAGGCTGCAGGTAGCTTTGCAACCCGGAGTTTAACCGCTGTGCCACTGGGGAGGCCCCCATGAATTTTTTTTAATATTTATTTATTTATACAAGCACTGGGTACAGTCAGAAGTGCAGGAGGATGAGAGAATTCATTGCACCATGAGGGATCCTCAACAGAGGCCGGGGATCGAACCAGCGCTGCAGAGGCTTTGCAGCCCAGCACTCAACCACTGCGCCACCAGGGGAGGCCCAATTTTCATGATTTTTTGATCAGTATGAACTCCAGAAAAGTACCAGCTTACACACCATCATTAGCATTATGTGAAAAGGTACCTTGTTCTATATCCTGACCAACACTAGGCATTTCTAGAAAAATGAGTCTGCAATTCTTAATGTTATCTATTTATTTTAAATTTATATTTATTTTATTATGAATGGAGGTCAGCAACATTTAAAGTTTATTGGCTAATTGTATGTCTTTTATTAGTAACCTAGTTCTACTAGTCCTCTGCTTATTTTTCTTCTTAATTTTGTAATAATTTTTTAAATGTCTAGTGTCCTTAATTAAATATATCTATCATATGTGGCTCTCAATATTTTTCTTTTTAATTTTTTTAAGTTTATCATTTGGCATTTGTTGTCTTTTAAGACTGCCCAGCTGTGTCTATGCAGGTGTTTCTTTTCCCTTTTTCTCTTTTCTTTAATAAACTTGCCATGTGCTGATGAATGGGAAAATCTGTTGAATTCTTTCTCAGATGGACCCAAGACACCCACATATGGAATCTCATCATCTGAACACCATTAAAGGCTCACTATTCAACTTGGAGTCAACAATGGTAACCTACTCAAACCTGTTTCTCTGAGACTTACTGAAACTGTTTCTCTAAACATTCAATTTATGAGGAAGGATGTTCTGATTTTTTAGAAAACTATTTCTGAGTAACTTGTATTCAAAATTATGACAAAAGACATAATTATTAAAAAAATAAAAATAAAGTTTATCGCTTGCCTCATACCTTTGTTTATAGATTTGTTCTTATATATATTATTTTAAAGAGATTTAATTCATTTTTTTAAAGATTTATTTATGCATACAACAACTGGGGTGTAAGCCAGGTGTGTGTGTGAGAGGATTCACCAGAGACAGAGTGGGGAGCATAACAGGCAGATCTACTGAAACACACTGCTGAGGGTTGCTGTGGGTGAGGCAGGAGAGGTCTGCTGCGCCATGTGGGTTGCTCCCTGGCCGGCAGGGGATTGAACTTGGCTGCAGTGGCTGGCAATAGCTTGAAAGCGCTATTTTTAACCCCTGCGCCACCAGGGAGGCTCTTACGGAGATTTTAAAATCAGTCTTAGGTTCATAGCAAAATTGAACATAAAGCAGAGTTTCCCCTGCCTCCCTCTAACACACAGTCTCCCACTATCAATATCCTCCATCAGAGTGGCACATTTGTATAATCAATGAACTTAACCTACACTGGTACATCATGATCACCCCAAATCCATAGTTTGCATTAGGAATTATTCTTGGTAAATTCTAAGGGTTTGGAGTAGTGCATGATGACAAGTATCCACCATTATAGTATCATATGGAATAGTTTCATTGTCCTACAAATCTGTGCTTCTATTTTCCCTTCCTCTTATCCTAACCCTTTGCAATCACTGATCTTTCAAAAGATACCACAGAAGAACCGGGGTATAGGCCAGAGGTACAGGGGGTGAGAGGATTCACCACAGAGAGTAGGGAACAGAACAGGCGGATCTCCTGAAACACACTGCTGAGAGGGGTAGCAGGCGACAAAGGAGAGGTCTGCTGTGCCATGTGGGTCAGCTCCCTGGAAGAGGGTCCAACTACGGCCAGGCCAAAGTGGCTGGCAATAGCTTGATAGTTTTGAGACTTAACTCCTGCACCACCAGGGAGGCCCCATAGATTTGCCTTTTCCAGAATGTTATCATTGCAAGCCTTTTCAGATAATCTTCTCTGGATTCCTTCTCGTCTTTTTAGGGCTTGATAGCTCATTTCTTTTTAACAGTGGATAATATTCCATTGTCTGGATGTATCACAATTTATTTATCCATTCACCTACTGAAGGCTATCTTGGCTGCTTCCAAGTTTTGTCAATTATAATAAAGCTAGAAATATTGGTGGGGGGAGGGTTTGACTGGACATAAATTTGAAACTCCTTTGGGTAAATAGGAGTGCAATTTCTAGATCTGATGATAAGAGTATGTTTATGGTTTGTTTGTTTTTAAAGATTTATTTATTTATGCATACAAGAGCTGGGGTACAAGCCAGAGATGCGGGGATGAGAGGATTCACCAGAGACAGAGTGGGGACCAGAACAGGCAGACTGACTGAAATACACTGCTGAGGGGAGCAGCGGGCGAGGCAGGAGAGGTCTGCTGTGCCATGTGGATTGCTCCCTGGCAGGCTGAGAATAGAACTTGTGCTGCAGAGGCTTCAGATTGCTTCACAGTGCGGTGCTTAACCCCTTGTGCCACCAGGGAGGCCGTGGTTCGGTTTTTACGTGCTTGTAAAAACATAGTTTTAAGCTTTTACTTTTTTGTTCTTAAATTGATCAAACTTTTGTTTCATGATTTCTACCTCTGGTTTTGATTGGAAAGACTTATCCCTTCCAAAATTTTAATCTTCACCTCTACATTCTAATAGAAATCCGCTTGGCTTTCTTTTCATATCCCTAGTTATATAACATTCCTCTACATATTGGCTCTACACCACAACTCCAAAGGAGTTCCCATCTTACAAACAAGGAAGCAGGCAGAGGTAACTCATTGCATTTAAGGTCACATAGCCATTAATTGATAAAGTTAGGATTCAAACCTTGGTCTTTCCTTGTCCTCCTGTCCTCGCTTTACCTCAACCTTCCTGCTCAAAGTATGGGCCCTGGAGAAGCAGTATTAGCAACACCTGGGAGATTTTCAGAAACGCAGTGACTTCAGCCCCACCCCTGAGTTTCTGAGTCATCATATGTGTTTCTAATTACTGTTGTGCATCCCATTTCCCCAAATTTAGGGTATTTCAGAATCACCTGTTGCTCTCCATCCCTCCTCAATATTTTAAGTCAAAAATTCTTGGGCGATGAGCATCCCAGGTTATTCTTATGTAGGCGGCCCCTGGGAAGCCACTTAAGAAATGCTCTAAAACGATTGAGAAATATTCTAAACTGCAATCTAGGACACCATAAATGATGGCTGATTATTTCTCCCAGTCTCAATTTAAAATGTCCTTTTAAAGAGAAATCAGTGCGGTAACAATAACTCTTTCTTATGTCAACACATGGAAATTATTTGTCATGAGAACGATTAAACCCTGAATTTTACAGAAAACCACGAAAAACTGAGGGCAAAAGCCCTTCCATCTATCCAGATTTCAGTGCAGGCGGCAGAGAAGTAGACCGCAAGGAGACTGGCGTCTAATTCCCTCCTCCAAATTTTGTCTATTATGTCTGCGAGTCCAGGTCTGTTCACCAACAAACACCTGCCAGTGGGAAGCCAGAACTTGCTTGTCAACTTTCTGAACTTTTGGACCCAGTATCGCTGCCCATAGGTAAACATGCCGGTCAAGCACGCTCGTACTCCTGCCAGCTCAGAAGTGCCGGGAAGCCGACGCCACCCGGCCAGAGGCGGGGCCCGGGCGACCCGCGCCCTCAGCCCCCTTCACCAGCCCGCGCCCCCGGCCCGGGACACACCCTCTCCCCCGCCCCGTCCCCCGACGACTCCGTCATCAATAATTCACAAGAGCCCCCTCTCCATTGGCTGACACCCGCCGCCGCGCCGGCAGAGACCCAATGAGGAAAGAGTTGAGCGAGCGCTTCTGAATAGTGAGCGCGCTCCCGTGACGTAGAGGCCGGTGATTGGCTACGGCGGCTACGGGGCGGGGCCAGGCCGGGCGGCGGTGCGCGCGGCTGGGGCGGCTCAGAGCGAGCCGGGGCGGGCGGGACGCGCGCGGGTCGGCGCGGCGGGGTGTCGGGCGGGCGCGGACAGGAGGGCGCGCGGCGCGGGGCGGCGGAGCGGCGGCAGAATGTTCAGCTGGATGGGGCGGCAGGCGGGCGGGCGCGAGCGCGCGGGCGGCGCCGACGCGGTGCAGACGGTGACGGGCGGCCTGCGCTCGCTGTACCTGCGCAAGGTGCTGCCGCTGGAGGAGGCGTACCGCTTCCACGAGTTCCACTCGCCCGCGCTGGAGGACGCCGACTTCGACAACAAGCCCATGATCCTGCTGGTGGGCCAGTACAGCACCGGCAAGACCACCTTCATCAGGTGAGCGCCCCTCCCGCCCCCGGCCGCCCACCTGAGCGCCCACCTGGGCGCCCACCTGGGCGCGCCTCCCCACGTGCGCGCGTTGTCGCCGGCGCTCCGCGGGCCGCGCGCCCCCGCCCCGCGGCGCCCCCTTACTTGTGCCGAACCCCTCGGGGCTGCTTCCCGCACCGCCGTCCGCGCGGCCCCAGGTGTGTCCTCCCCGCGCGGTGTCGGGGCGCCCGCAGCTCCCCCCCCCCGCCGGGTCCGCGGCCGCCCGGTGGGGACCGCCTCTGCGCTCGCGGGCTGGGGGCTCCCCGCACCCCTTGTCCACTTACACCGAGCCCCGAAAGGCGTTTCTGACCGACTTTTCCCTGCGCCCCTGGTTTGGGGACCCGGGAAGCTAGCATCTGCCTTATTTTGTTTTTTTCCTTCAAGGTTAACACTTTATTTAATATATTTTAGTTTATGTCATTCTTACATCATTTTTGCACAATGTATGCATTTTCATTTTGGTTCTGTTCCCCGAGCTGGAAGGGATCATGCTCGGCGAAATAAGTCAGAAAGAAAAAGAAAAATACCGGATGGTCTCACTCATAGCAGGAATCTAGAAAACTTAAACAAGGGACCAGGAAAATGAATAACTATAAGAAAGAAAAAATCAAAATCGACAAGCAGCTATGAACCAGAGGCCTCTGCCTTACTGGTGAGCGAGGCCTGCGGCCGGGAATGGGCATAGAGTTATGGGGTTCTCCTGAGTCTCAGGAGAGTTAAGCCCATAACCCAGTTTGCGGAGCACAGCTGTTAATAAACGGAATGAATGGATGAATGAATGGATGGACGGAGTGGAGGACAGTGCCCAGGCGCCTTTCCCTTCAGGTGCTTCCACGTTGCTCCCACCTCCGTGATCCCGCGAATCGGTAGAGAGGCCGCCTTCATTCAGCTCTAGCCCGACCTCCCCGCTGCCCGCCTGGGAGTTAGCTGGGTGGCGGCTGCTCCAGCCTCCTGCGGGTGGAACTGAGGGGAGTGTCGTATTACTGTTGGTTAGTTTCCATTTCCTAGGTGGGTCATTGCCTACTGCTCACCCTTGACAACTGAAAATATTTGTCATGTTCCCTGTGTCTCCGAAAGCAAACAATTACTGTATGTGCCCTAAGGTTCAAGTCATATAGTTTCTTCGGGAGTGAGTGGCTTTTGAGGGAAGATAGTTTACTTCGAAATAGATTGCTATTTGAAGAGACTGTTCTACTTTTTTACTTCTAACGCCGTTGGCATAGTAAGACTCATTTCTTGGATTAGGAGACTTGTTTGCTTGGGGTAAGCCTTGTGTCACTGAAACAAAGTGAACCATCATTTAAGGATTTGTTCTAGTGTTTTGGAGATCATAGCAATCTCTTCGTTGATGTTCAACAGGTGTTTAGAAAACTGCATCTATATTTGGATACATGCCATTTCTATTAAGTGGAGACCTCTTTTTCTACATGCCAGTGACCTAAATAGTTCCTACAAATAGAGTAGTTGTCACTATAGGATATATGTTCAGTCCATGCCTGCAGATATGCTGTGAATGAGTTCAACAAAGCCAATAGTTCTAGACAGTAAATTGAATGTGACAGAAGACCAAAGAAAATAATAACTTTAAGATTGCCTCATTTGGACCTCCCTGGTGATGCAGGGGGTTGAGCTCCTCACTGTGAAGCAGTCCACAGCCTCTGCAGCAGGGCTTTGATCTCAGCTGGCCAGGGAGCTACCCACATGGCACAGCAGACCTCTCCTGTCTCGCCCCTCGCCCGCTGCAACCCTCAGCAGTGTATTTCAATCAGTCTGCCTGTTCTGTTCCCCACTCTGTCTCTGGTGAATCCTTTCACCCTTCCGCATATCTGGCCTGTGCCTGGGTTCTTGTATAAATAAATAAATCTTAAAAAAAAATTAAATAAAATTGCTTCATTTGATGCTTGTTAATAAACTGAAAATAGTATTAAATGTGTCATTCCAGACACTCAAAGTCAGCCACAAGAATAGTATAGTAATTGGTACCTTGAAAGATGGCAGGCAATACATTTAAGGTCTCAGTGATACTAACCATTTTTTAAGTGTAAGAGATAACAAGAGTAGGAGGTGGACCTTTTGACACAAACAGATAAAGGATAAGAAGGGAGTATTTTTATAATAGCTCAGGCATTCACTGTGGTGTGTTCACAGCACTCCAGGCAATTCCTCCTGTCTGTCTAGGCCATGAAGGCTTTATTGTGCCTGTGTGTGGTTAGGGAGCTTCTGTTGATGCTGCAGCAACCTCATGTGCCCTTCCCTGCTCCTGTGGCCTGAGGCAGGAGAACACAACTCAAAAGGACATGAATCAATCTTTTATTCAATTTACTATTTTATCTTATTTTTCACTCTTCGCTATTTCATCATTTGAAGAGAACTTTGTGGAATAGATTAAGCATTGCTTTAAGAAGGATGTTGAGATTTTACTCCTGCTGGCTTCATCCAAGTGGACCACTTGTCAGTAAGCACTGGAGCCAAGTGCAACTCAAGGGTGAGGGAGGAGTCACTTTATTAGGATTGCTCTTGATCGTGAGAGCTTCCTTGTCTAAGTGCCTTTGTCATTAGGCAGCAGGCCCAGAATGGACTTGTGAGGTTGGAGGAAAATCAGGGGAAATGGGAAGCTTGGTGTGAGGTACAGGAGACCTAAGTTTGGTTTCAGAGTGGGAGGTAGGAGGAAGAGATTTAACTCCTGGAAGGGAGACCCCAAACAAAAGGGCAGCTACCCTTTAGAGTTCTGCACTGGGGAGCAAAGGAGTTGACCCCGGAGGCTGATCATCCTGTATCCTGCCTGCATCCATGGCTGTTTTCTCTGAGGATAGTCAGTGTCTGGGTTGAGCACTAGAAGCTCATACTTGGACTGCGGGTTGCACCTGGCCTTGTGGTCAGATTTTTATTCACCTGGCTTCCTGCACTTCCCAAGGGGTCACTGGTGACACTGGGAGAGACCTCTCATTGTAAAGCCAACCAGCAAAGTCTTTGGTGTGCGTCCGTACTCATTCTTGCTTTGGTCTCATGCTTGGGAAGAACTGGGATTCCCACTAATGCATGAGGAACGGGGACATTTTTAGGAGTAGAGAAATAAGTGTGTGCCCTGTTATAATGAAAAGGTGTCTTAGGTCGGGTAGATGAAGAACCTGGGTGTTAAGAAAATATACTCACTCCTGCATAGACGATCACCATGAGGAAGAGGATGAATAGGAGAATCTTGGACCCTCCTCACATGGATCAGAGAGAGACTTATAATGTGAAGGAGATTTTCCTCCAGGTCTCTTGGGAGTGGAGGCAAAGTGGCTGATAAACCTATTGACTCTGAGAATATTACTTCTCAGGAGACAGAGGCTGCGTTGAGAGGAACTCTTGGTGCTCTACCTCTGACTTGCAGGAAAGAATTGGCCAGAGAAAGAGCAGAGATGGACACAGGGAAGTGGCCAAATCATCTTAATCATCTTAGACTCTGTAGATATTGCACTCACCAGACTTGGATCCTAACCCTGAGGAAAACACTTTTCACAGATTCCTCCGGAAAATCCCTGGGCCCAGGTCTGTGAGCAAAGACATTTTCGCTGAGGGGATGGGAAGCTCACTGAAAATTTAAACTACAGGATTGCAACTTTTGACTTTAAGAGCTCCGCTTTCTCTCTTCCGCCTACATGCTGTCCCCTTCACTCTGTATATTTATCCTAATGAGGAAAAAAAGGGGAAGCCACTCAAGAAACTATAATCTTTAAAAGAGCAGGAATCCAGGCATTTAGGCAAGGAAAAGAAATAGAAGGCACCCACTGGAAAGAACTATCTCTCTATTCAAGACGACATAAATTTATTTTCAGTCTCCCAATACTGAGCATCCTATGATTTATTTAAATGGCCATAATTCTGCGTTTAGTGACAGTCAAGTAATTTCTGCATCTGATGCAATAACTTAAAAAACGGATGCCAAAAAAAGTAGAAATAAGCTAATAGAGTGCAAAGGCACAAAGAGAAAACATGAGAAAAAAGGAGCATAAGTAGCCGTCATATAATCCTTATCAGGCTTATTTCCTGTATATTCCTGTCAATGTAGAAACATGTTTATTTTTCCTAGCACTTGAACTTGGTAAAATCAAGGTAAGATGCTTTCCTAGAAAATGCTTTATAAGGGCCTCCCCGGTGGCGCAGCGGTTGAGCGCTGGGTTGCGAAGCTGCCCACGGCCTCTGCAGCGCCAGTTCGATCCCCAGCTGCTCCCCGGCCACCGGAGGAGGGTCCCACATGGCACGCAGACCTCTCCTGCCGCCCGCTGCTCCCCTCAGCAGTGTCCTTCGGTCCTTCTGCCTGCTCTGCTCCCCGCTCTGGCTCTGGTGAATTCTCTCACCCTCCCGCGCTTCTGACTGTACCAATATCAGTGCTTGTATCAATACATAAATAAATAAATAAATAAAAATAAATTAAAAAAAAAAAAAGAAAATGCTTTATAAGGTAATTACATTTGTAAATTTTTACAAATGCCATTTAAATATAGTGTTCCTAGGGAAAGGGGGGGCAGTGGGGCCGTAATCAGGGGAGACGACAAGGCTTGTGGACAGTGTGAGGATAAAGAAGCTGGAGGGACAGCTATCAACAAAGATAAACTCATGCCATTTGCAGCAACATGGATGGAACTGGGAGGGATCATACTCAGTGAAATAAGCCAGAAAAAAAAAAAGAAGAAAAATATCGCATGGTTTCACTTACCGGAGGAACATAGGGGAACTAAATAAGGGATCGGGAAAAAAATTATAATTAAAAAACAAAAGTAACAGGCAACTATAAATCAGAGACACTGCAGGGGAAGGGGCGGGAGAAGGACCCCAACAGGGGTGGGAAGAGCACAAGGGACTGCGGTGATGGTGACAGGTGCACGGGTGGTGGGGTGCACTGGTGGTGGTATTCAGGGGCTACACCTTTTTGTATACATTGTACAAAAAGGGAGAACGATGAAAAATATATATAAAATAAAAAA